TCAACTGGATGCTGAATGTTTATATAGAGACACAATTGACTTTTGGGGCTCTCTCTGCCTGGGGTTTTTCATAATTGATGTTTTGGCTTGAAAACTGAAAGAATGACATGCACCACTTACACACATATGCAAGTGATATCTTTGGCTAATTGGCTTCGCTCAACTCAACCGTGGTGTATGAAACCATTGCTGGGAAAGTTAAGAGGCAAAAAAACCCTTGCACTATGAAGCCACTATGTATGGCAGAGCAGGAGAAACTGGTGGAGCCAGTAGATCGAGAGCAGTTCACGGGTCCCCCTCTGGAGAATAGACAAGTGGAGTTTGGAGAGAGGAAGGGGAAGGTTGACGAACTGGTGACCCAGTGCTACGACCACACCTCCTCTCTCGTGAGACAGCTGGAGGGAGTCATGTGGAGCTCCAGGGATGCTGGTCATCCTGCCAGCTACACCAACACCATCAGGTTAGGAGATCCTCTTTCTTTGTAACCCTCCCTCCTCCCCCTAATCCCCACCCCCATCCTCCTCTTACTCTCTCTCTCTCTCCTTTTTTTTAACCCCCTCTGTCTCCACTCTCCTTTTTTAACCCTCTGTCTCCACTCTCTCCTCTTCCTCTAACCTCCCCCAACTCTCCTCTTCCTTTTTTTCTTCTTTTTACAGGTAGGCATGCTTCAATTGCCAAATAGCATGGGTTACAAGTCACACCCACCTGCTCGGTGATCTTCAGGGCCTCGTGGTTGTTGTAGTATGAGGGAGAGTCCTCGTCCTGTGCCTCCTGACCGTCAACTCCGATGAACTTGAGAGGAGGGAAGTTCTGGGGACCTGTGGCCGGGAACTTGGCCCGACACGTCAACTTGTTCTTGTAGAACAGTTTGGACGGTATCTCCATTATCTGGGAACGAGGGAGGAGCGAGGTGGTCAACTACACACAGGTATATAGGAGAGGTTGATTGCATTACTGACGTCATGGATACCCATATTCTGGGGTTGTTGGCCTAAAATGATGTGAAACTTGCCTATTATCAAAATCTCATTACACGCACACATGACTGAAGAGTTCTGGTAGCTAGTAGGGAACTTTACTCTCATGAACCTGAAATGGAACTCAGAGCCACTGAGTAAGTAAAGTATCCTTACACTGAACACAGCACCACTCTACTTCTTACCACGTGGCACATCCAGTACGGCTATAGACTACTAACCACGTGGCTGTTAGTTTACACTTTCTGGCACTAATTCTCATTTTGCAGAAACGATGCTAGCAAATCTACCACCATCTGGTGTATGTGTGATAGTTGTGGTTCTCTGTGAGGAGTGTCTTACGTGGGTGTGTGATAGTGGTGGTTCTCTGTGAGGAGTGTCTTACGTGGGTGTGTGATAGTGGTGGTTCTCTGTGAGGAGTGTCTTACGTGGGTGTGTGATAGTGGTGGTTCTCTGTGAGGAGTGTCTACGTGGGTGTGTGATAGTGGTGGTTCTCTGTGAGGAGTGTCTTACGTGGGGTGTGTGATAGCGGTGGTTGTCTGTGAGGAGTGTCTACGTGGGTGTGTGTGTGAGCGGTGGTTCTCTGTGAGGAGTGTCTTACGTGGGTGTGTGATAGCGGTGGTTGTCTGTGAGGAGTGTCTTACGTGGGTGTGTGTAGCGTTGGTTGTCTGTGAGGAGTGTCTTACGTGGGTGTGTGTGAGTGGTGGGTCTCTGTGAGGAGTGTCTACTTGGGTGTGTGATAGTGGTGTTCTCTGTGAGGAGTGTCTTACGTGGGTGTGTGATAGTGGTGGTTCTCTGTGAGGAGTGTCTTACGTGGGTGTGTGATAGTGGTGGTTCTCTGTGAGGAGTGTCTTACGTGGGTGTGTGATAGTGGTGGTTCTCTGTGAGGAGTGTCTTACGTGGGTGTGTGATAGTGGTGGTTCTCTGTGAGGAGTGTCCTTACGTGGGTGTGTGATAGTGGTGGTTCTCCTGTGAGGAGTGTCTTACGTGGGTGTGTGATGCGGTGGTTTCTGTGAGGAGTCTTACGTGGGTGTGGTGATAGTGGTGGTTCTCTGTGAGGAGTGTCTTACGTGGGTGTGTGATAGTGGTGGTTCTCTGTGAGGAGTGTCTTACGTGGGTGTGTGAGCGGTGGTTCTCTGTGAGGAGTGTCTTACGTGGGTGTGTGATAGTGGTGGTTCTCTGTGAGGAGTGTCTTACGTGGGTGTGTGATAGTGGTGGTTCTCTGTGAGGAGTGTCTTACGTGGGTGTGTGATAGTGGTGGTTCTCTGTGAGGAGTGTCTTACGTGGGTGTGTGATAGTGGTGGTTTCTCTGTGAGGAGTGTCTTACGTGGGTGTGTGATAGCGGTGGTTCTCTGTGAGGAGTGTCTTACGTGGGTGTGTGTAGCGGTGGTTCTCTGTGAGGAGTGTCTTACGTGGGTGTGTGATAGTGGTGGTTCTCTGTGAGGAGTGTCTTACGTGGGTGTGTGATAGTGGTGGTTCTCTGTGAGGAGTGTCTTACGTGGGTGTGTGATAGTGGTGGTTCTCTGTGAGGAGTGTCTTACGTGGGTGTGTGATAGTGGTGGTTCTCTGTGAGGAGTGTCTTACGTGGGTGTGTGAGCGGTGGTTCTCTGTGAGGAGTGTCTTACGTGGGTGTGTGATAGTGGTGGTTCTCTGTGAGGAGTGTCTTACGTGGGTGTGTGATAGCGGTGGTTCTCTGTGAGGAGTGTCTTACGTGGGTGTGTGATAGCGGTGGTTCTCTGTGAGGAGTGTCTTACGTGGTGTGTGATAGTGTGGTTCTCTGTGAGGAGTGTCTTACGTGGTGTGTGATAGTGTGTTCTCTGTGAGAGTGGCTACGTGGGTGTTGACGGTGGTTCTCTCTGTGAGGAGTGTCTTACGTGGGGTGTGTGAGCGGTGTTTCTCTGTGAGGAGTGTCTTACGTGGGTGTGTGATAGTGGTGGTTCTCTGTGAGGAGTGTCTTACGTGGGTGTGTGATAGCGGTGGTTCTCTGTGAGGAGTGTCTTACGTGGGTGTGTGAGCGGTGGTTCTCTGTGAGGAGTGTCTTACGTGTGTGACGGGTCTCTTGAGGAGGTCTTACGTGGGTGTGTGAACGGTGGTTCTCTGTGAGGAGTGTCTTGCACAGCTGGCCAACACCACTGCTGTAGGCCTCATGGTCAAACAGTCTTTCCAGTAGGGACACATGGAGTCCATATCTGGGAATAGGTGCGCAAATACAATGGTAAAATTTCAGCAAATTGTTTCTGAGCTAAAGCATTGTGGTATAGAAAAACCACTAGGTAGGTTCTCTTAATCATTGTGTGGAACGTAGAATTGCACCACAAACACAAAAGTGGGATAATAGCAGTCAATTTTATGCACGTCATTTAAAGTGGTGTGCGTTAAAGCAGCGAAGTTACAAGTTTAGGCAAATACAGCACATCCAGGTCAACTCCATTTCCCAACATCTACTCTGAAGAGGGAGGAGTGGACCTGCGGGCAATGGAGGAGTGGCAGGGAGGGTCCATCTGCATGTGGTCCCCCGCCAGTATGACCTTTGTCCTCTCCCCGGCCAACACCAGTGGTATCAGAGTCTCCGGTTCCAGGGCCTGCTGGGACATGGGACTGGGACAACGTGGAATGGGAATGGGACCAGTACCTGAGCGGCCTCGTCGACGAAGATGTGGGAGAAGTGGCCGCGTGGCAGTCCCATGAGACTGAGGATCCGCGAGGTGCTCAGAGTCACCACTACAATACGGAACTGACGGAGCTCAGAGAGAGAGGGGAGGGCCAGCCTGCCGTTCTCAAACCTTCAGGGAGACAAGGAACAGCGAAAACCCGCAATATGGGACATGTTGGTGACATTGAAAGTGTTCTTTATTTACTTTCAGAGGTAATGGGCGAGCGAAACGAGCCTGCCTAGTTGTAGTATGGAGGAATTTTTACAGTGTATGACCCATGGATCCATACTGTATTGTTCTAAATATTCGTGAAATGTGCGAAAAATCGAACTGCTTCCTTTGCTTGCCAATACTGTGAATGTACATATAGGGAGACGGGGTGAACTAACTTGCAGTAAGGTCTGACTTCAGCAGGGATGGTGTCCGGTCGCCTCCCAGTGTAGTAGATCCTGATCATGGAGACTTGACTGGCCCTCTCTGTAGGGGGTTGAGATAGACATGGTGAGTAGACATGGTGTGTAGACATGGTGTAGGACCAAGTCAACTGCAGAGAGGAGGCACACGGGGTTGTTGGCAAGGAGGCGCCATGCGCGGCTCACTCAGACACGAGGTTGGTGAACGAGCGGTTGAGCAAAATGCCTCACAGGTTCTCTCTTTCTTTTGGCACGCCTCAAGGTGGTTCTGAACAGGGGACTGGTGAAGCGCTGGTAAGCAGTTAACTGTGGGAATAGCTTGAACAGAGACTGTGACTTAGTCTGGGTTCACAATGTGTCGCATGGGCCTGTCACGCTGTGCAGCGTTGCCACGTTGCCATTTCTACGACGTGACGCGGCATGGCAGGACGGGCAATTGCGATGTATTGTGAACGTAGCCTTACTGGTGTACTCCCTGCTCAGCTCCTGGACGTATATGTTGGCCGCGCTGTTGGAGTGAGTGCAGATGAGGATGGTCGGCTCCCGGAGGAGGGACAGGAGCAAGATACACTCCTTCAGAGTCCGGGTCTTCCCACAGCCAAACGGACCCAGCACCAGGGACGGGAGCTGGACACACAGTACACAACAGAGGGCTAGGGAAAAACTGGCTCCTCCGCCCTCCCATGTCTTACTACACTAACGCCGATAATGCACAACTTTGGTGGTAAAAAAACCTTGACACCATCCCAAAGGCGTTGGAAAGAGATCTACAGGCTCATGATCAGCTCACAGCACTCAAAAACCTGGTTAATTCTATATGTCTGAACAGGACACAGATGTGCTGTACCTGTACCTGCTGGCAGGCAGGGTCCAACATGCTGTTGATAGCATTCTGCTGAGCTTGGTTTAGCTTTGTCTTCTTCAGCTCCTGGAGGCACCTGGAGATGGCTGGGGGGATGGGGTCACTTCCTCTGCTGCCACTTCTGGAGGAAGACAGGGAGGGAGTGGGGAAGGGAGAGAGAGGGAAGGGAGGAAAGGAGGGAGGCAATGGTGGTCAGTCTTGCAGAGTGTTCTGTGGGTAGCTCACTGGGGGACAGGGAAGACAACACCCAGGTCCAGATGGTCCACTGCGTAGTGCATCTCTCTCATGTGAGTCCGACTCAGCACAAACCTCAGAGAGCACCTGTTGCGAGAGGACACACTGGCCTGCTTGGCCTTCTCTGAGATCTGAAGAGTGACCCTGTCTCTCCCAACTCCCTCCACCCAGCACTCGTGGACAACTTGCTGGTTCATTGGCCGGAGGAGGCAGCTGTCTCCTTGCCTGCAGGGGGGCGTGACAGTCACCACCCACTCCCCGCCCACGGAACGAGCCGGCTCACCTAATGGAGCGTCCTCCCTCAAACAACACTTCCTCCACGGAGACAGTCACGTATTGGAAACCCTCAGTGGCATAGACCGTACCGTGGGACATCTGTACGGAGCTCTCTGGGTGGATCTCAATGTCATAGATATCGTACCTGGAGAGACAGACGACCTTCTTCTCCTCCTACTTTCCCCCTCCCCCTCCCTTTCTCTCCCTCTTAGTTCCCCCTCTCCTCTTACTCGTGGCATAGCCACATCCAAGTGTGAGTAGTGCAAGGGTGTGGGGTCAAGCTTGGTCGCGATTTGCACTCTGCACCCTGCTGCAGGATTGCTTTGCAGTCCAATCAGAACGCAGAACATCACGATGTATATGCTCCACCCCATCATTAGCACAATGGCTACTGACTCATTTGTTCTAGCGTCACAAAATTTGGGAATGCATTACGTCATTGGATACAAATCACGGTCAAGCTTGATTCCAGACCCTCGCACTGCTCACGCTCGTGGGGGTGTGGTCACACCAGACTACTCTCCCCCTCCCTCCTCACCATCAGGAACATACAGTACAGTACAGTACCTGCTCATGTCCAGTCTCTGCTGGTACTCCTCGAGGTACAGCAAGTTGTGGATTCTTCGTTTGTAGTTTTCTTTCGTCACACGATTTTCCACGTTATTGTACTTGCCTGTGGAGGAGCCAAAAAGACATCATAACAACGTTTGGTCAGGGGGCACGGGGGGAACTTGCAGCCCCCGCATGACACAATTGTCAGGGGGCACGGGGGGAACTTGGAGCCCCCGCATGACACAATGGTCAGGGGGCACGGGGGGAACTTGCAGCCCCCGCATGACACAATAGTTTAGACTAAGGTGCAAATCATCAACTATGACCTCTATAGACCAGATTTGTCCTAAATGGAAAAAAACTCTCTGTGTAACCTTTCAGTGGCCGTAATTTGCCTCCCTCCCCCCTCCCCCTCCCCCCTCGAAAATAAGTTCTTCCATATAGCATAACACAAACATTACGGGAGAGAATATTGGTATCACTTTTTGTCCGTCTTGTCGCTCTAAGCGGCAGAAAATGTGGTAACGGACAGATGGAATGACAAACCAAGTATTGCAACCCTCGCTGTGCATGCGCGCCGAGGGTTAAAAACCCACGATAAACTCTCAGTTGAGTTGGGTTTTGAAACAAGCTCCCTGTGTAATGGTGAATGTGACTACACCTGCATCGATGAGTCTCTCTAGCCCTAGCCCTAGCACACAGTGTAACGGTGAATGTGACTACACCTGCTTCGATGAGTCTCTCTAGCCCTAGCCCTAACACACAGTGTAATGGTGAATGTGACTACACCTGCATCGATGAGTCTCTCTAGCCCTAGCCCTAGCACACAGTGTAATGGTGAATGTGACTACACCTGCTTCGATGAGTCTCTCTAGCCCTAGCCCTAGCACACAGTGTAATGGTGAATGTGACTACACGTGCATCGATGAGTCTCTCTAGCCCTAGCCCTAGCACACAGTGTAATGGTGAATGTGACTACACCTGCTTCGATGAGTCTCTCTAGCCCTAGCCCTAGCACACAGTGTAATGGTGAATGTGACTACACCTGCATCGATGAGTCTCTCTAGCCCTAGCCCTAGCACACAGTGTAATGGTGAATGTGACTACACCTGCTTCGATGAGTCTCTCTAGCCCTAGCCCTAACACACAGTGTAGTGGTGAATGTGACTACACCTGCATCGATGAGTCTCTCTAGCCCTAGCCCTAACACACAGTGTAATGGTGAATGTGACTACACCTGCATCGATGAGTCTCTCTAGCCCTAGCCCTAGCACACAGTGTAATGGTGAATGTGACTACACCTGCATCGATGAGTCTCTCTAGCCCTAGCCCTAGCACACAGTGTAACGGTGAATGTGACTACACCTGCATCGATGAGTCTCTCTAGCCCTAGCCCTAGCACACAGTGTAATGGTGAATGTGACTACACCTGCATCGATGAGTCTCTCTAGCCCTAGCCCTAGCACACAGTGTAGTGGTGAATGTGACTACACCTGCATCGATGAGTCTCTCTAGCCCTAGCCCTAGCCCTAGCACACAGTGTAATGGTGAATGTGACTACACCTGCTTCGATGAGTCTCTCTAGCCCTAGCCCTAGCCCTAGCACACAGTGTAATGGTGAATGTGACTACACCTGCTTCGATGAGTCTCTCAATCTGCTCGGGAAGAGGGTAGTCAGCCAGCCCAGAGTCGAAGACCTCGTCCTGCTCTCTGCCAGGCATGGCCAGTGACGTGTAGTGCTGCTCCCAGTACAGGTCACTGCTCACAACAGAGAGAGAGAGAGAGAGAGAGAGAGAGGAGAGGAGAGAGGGAGAGAGAGAGAGGGAGAGGGAGAGAGAGAGAGTAAGAACACCAAAGTGAAACCTGAGCATGTTACAAAAATTATCACTATGCCTTACTATCATGTGGCGCATATGTGTGAGGGCTTGCTTTAAAGATATGTGCATGCTGCATGCAAAAGTCACAATTTAAGAAAATCGATCCATCACTGCAGATCCATAACAGTGACGGGTATAATCAACGGATGTCAAATTAGAACTTGAGAATGAGCACGATTGCAAAATTCTTCAATTCTGTTTCAATACATCGGTGATGGTATAATCATAATGTGTGGGTTGGATCAGTGTCATTTCTGTTACACAATTAATCAAAGAAGCGAGCCTACTTAGTCATCTGAACGTGTGTATATATGTATACAGCTGTGTACCTGACAACAAAAAATGGCACTGTCACACATACCATGAGCGTACGCTTTGCGGGAATGACGCCCTCGGCGGCCTTTTCGTAGACGGAGTTCGACTCAGACGGTGACACAAACAGCTGCTGGAAGGGCGCTCCGCGAGCTTCTAGTCCTCTGAACTTGCAAAAAACCAATTTTCCTGGCCGCCGCCTTTTGAACTATATCCGCGGACTAGCATACGCTTTGCGGGAATGACGCCTCGGTGGCCTTTCGTAGACGGAGTTCGACTTAGTGGTGACACAAACCGCTGCTGGAAGGGCACTCCGCGAGCTTCTCGTCCTCTCTTCCGTTCTGAACGCCGGTTTTCCTGGTCGCCGCCTTTGAATCACCCACGCATACAATAAATTACTTAATGTATGGAAGCACGTGCTGTGCGTGTGATAATGGTACTCGGAACGTGGTCTCGATAGATCATACAGCAACTCGGCTGCGCCTCGTGCTGTATGACTATCTCGACCACGCCCCTCGTACCATTATTACGCGCACAGCACTGACTTCCGTACATTAACTATTACATATAAGTGACTGAAGTGGTATGTATGTGTTGACTCACGGTTTGGGTGGGCGCAGAGTCCGCTGTGAGTAACCAATATTGACCATCTGTTTCTTCTCCGTCTCGTTGAGAACATGGACACTCAGACCTCGTGCCAGGTAGCCAGCGGGGCCAAAGTCAAATATCACCAGTTGGCCCAACACACCAGACCTCGGCTTGAGAGATATCTGCAGCCAGGGAAACCCTTCATATTGTATACATTAAGTTCAAGGGGGAGACCTCTGACTAAAGGACAATGTTACCAGCTGACCCAACACACCAGACCTTGGGTAGGGAGAGATCTGCAGCCAGGGAAACCTTTGAACAGAGGAAACCTTGGGGACTTTTGAAAGTGTCCTCAATTCAGAGGTCTCCCTTTTTCAATAATACCCTTCTGTAAAAGATGTTTGTGGGGTTATAGGCAGAACCAAGCGCCCTACATGTATACAGAGAGGTGTCCTTAGGAGGCCCCCTTTTGTCGGAGGTTGCACTGTAGTCAGTCCTCTTCCTCACTGCTCACCTTGACCTGGACCTTGACCTGAGGAGAGAGGGTGTGGCCGAGGAGGAGGCCAGCCCCCTGCTGGGCTGGGGCTCCGTGGAGACTCTGCAGCTGAGCTCCGTACTGGACACACCACACATCCACTATGGCGAAGTCTGTGGCCAGGGCATCGAATAGCACCACAGACTGCAGAACTCTGCAACTCTGTGACTGGAGGAGCAAGAGAGGGAGGCAGGGTAGTGAGGAGAGAGGGAGGGAGGCAGGGTAGTGAGGAGAGAGGGATGGGAGGCAGGGTAGTGAGGAGAGAGGGATGGGAGGCAGGGTAGTGAGGAGAGAGGGATGGGAGGCAGGGTAGTAAGGAGAGAGGGAGGGAGGCAGGGTAGTGAGGAGAGAGGGAGGGAGGCAGGGTAGTGAGGAGAGAGGGAGGGAGGCAGGGTAGTAAGGAGAGAGGGATGGGAGGCAGGGTAGTGAGGAGAGAGGGAAGGAGGCAGGGTAGTAAGGAGAGAGGGATGGGAGGCAGGGTAGTGAGGAGAGAGGGAGGGAGGCAGGGTAGTGAGGAGAGAGGGAGGCAGGGTAGTAAGGAGAGAGGGATGGGAGGCAGGGTAGTGAGGAGAGAGGGAGGGAGGCAGGGTAGTGAGGAGAGAGGGATGGGAGAAAGCATGAGACTGTCTCACTCAACTACATCATAGTTAAGGAGTGTATGTTCTCCTTCAGGAGGATAGGTTGCGGGTATATAGAAGGATCTTACATTTGAGGAGACCTCAAATATCCAGTGGAGAGAGTCAGGCTGTGTCCACGTGAGGCATGGCTCCTGTCCACTCACTTCCTCCACGCTCACTCCTTCCAGTGAGACCTGGAGAGAACAATGCACCCTCACATCATTGCATGCGGATGGCTGGCATAAACCATGATGAGGCTGTGGTTGAGCAGTTGGAAAACCAGAGACTTAACATGGACCATAGCTCACCACACAACAGTTACTGACGACTCTGAAGACTAGTGTTGATGTTCATGCAAGCAGGATGATGCTGTTTGCAGTGGTCTGCCTTCCCACTTATCACTGAGTATTTCCTACTCGAGTGAGAGAGTTGCTCTACAATAAAACATTCGCTTCGTTTCTCGTCAGCTACCATTTTCAATTTGGGGCAGCGCAGTGTGCAATGAAACGATATGACGGAAGATGGAGATGAAAGAGAATGAAAGTCTAGTGTTGCATCATGAACCAGGCTAAAGGAACAGAGGGTGAGGAGGAGGGACTTACCTGGAACCCTGCGATATCCTGATGTTCATTAAACTCTCCAGATATTCTCCTGCGAAGCTCATCAGCAAAGTCACCAGGCGGCACAACTGTCCCCTCCTCCTCCTCCTCCTCCTCCATCATGTGGGGCTGGTGGCTGGCAGCAGCTGAGGACAAGGTCTCGTCAAAGTCGTCCAGACCTGACGACTCTGTAAACATGTCTGGCTTCTGATGCTCCACTGAATTGTGTAGCACACGACCTGCGGGAGCGGTGCAATAGGTACACGTTTGTACTCCACTGTACAGTGGGACACCATGGGGCCAACGATTTTGTCCCTTGTAGAGGGGACATCTCTATCTCAGAGGGCAAACAATACACTAAAGTATTAGCATGGGGTTGAAACAAGTGTCTTTTGTAGAGAGGTTGTCCTTATCTCGGAGGGTCCCTTATCAGAGGTTCCACTGTAGTAAGCAAGTGAGATTTGTAGCTTTCATAGTATGGCTAGGTATGCAGTGTGAAGGTTTGACATATTGAGGTGGGCTTGCTTTCACTTGCCAAGTGGGTGGAGTCACAGAATATTCATAACTGAGTACAAAATCATATATTCATGGATGCCTGCCTAATTGAAACAAAACGTTTGTGTATGTCATAACTTTCCGCTTTACTGAGAAATAACAGAGTGTTGTCTTCCACAGATGGTACTAACCTTGTTGTGGTGGGAGTGGCTGAGGTGGTCTGCTCTGTGGTGGGCGAGGTCTGAAGGACGAAGGAGGGGGCGGGACTGACAGCTGTCTGTTCCACATGGCCAGCTCCTCAGTGGAGTGGGCAAACGTACAGAAATCCCCATAGACACAACGCCGGCCGGCCTGCACGTGCATGCACATCTTGAACCCCATGATCTGGGAGGAGAGGAGGGGCCTCTTGCGAATGGGGTGGAGGGGGGCTGGCATGGGGGGAGGGTGGTAGGCAGGAGGGTGCTGCAACTGCACCATTCGGTCTCGGTGCTTGCCCCCCGCCAGGTGGTCCTCCAGCTGCTTCCGACTGGTGCAGGTCAGGGAGCAGACGTCGCACCTCAGACTCCCTCCTCCTCCTCCCCCTCCCCCTACTCCTCCTCCTCCACCCCCTCCTCCCCCTCCCACTCCCCCTACTCCTCCCCTCCTCCTCCTCCTCCCCCTCCTCCTCCTACAATGAAGAACCCAGAGGCAGGAGAGGCGGGGCTCGGGGGAGGGACACAGCGGAGCCACTCCTGAAATTCCTCCTCGGTGTGAGCAAACGTACACCTCTGCCCGTAAGGACAGGGGCCTCCCCCCTGGATGTGCTTGCAGATCTGGTACTGTCCCGAGATGAACGGTGCTGGCCGCGGCTCCTGCTTGCGCTCCAAGTTCCATTGGTTTAGCTCCACTCGAGAGTGGGCGTAGGAGCAGTCCAGTCCACGAGGACACTCTCCACGGTTCCCCTGGATGTTCTTGCACATCTGGAACTCCGTGCTGGGTCCTATCTTCGGTCGAGGGCGAATTCTGACCCACTTGCCGCCCAGCGAGAGGTCCTTGGCCACTCTAATCGGTGCCCACCCTTGTCGACAGACGGAGCACTTGCCTTCGTTCAGGACTTTGCTCTCCGGAGTGAGTGTCGGGACGGCCTTGTGGTTGCTGGAGGCATAGCATATCTTGCAGACTATCCTCGGTTCTCCCATCATGGTCGAGTGAGGACCTCCGTCCGAGAATATCAATAAATTATACTGCAGTCGGAAGTAACTGTACACAGCTTTAGCTTGAGAGAGAGGAGAGATACTTATCTACGTGAAAACTGCAGTCCCAAGCTTCGTGGTAGAGAGCTAGCTAGCGGGCAAGCCCAGCAAAGGCGTACAATGAGGCCGAAGTTCGAAGGTCAAGTTCTTTTGTCACAAAAATACACACACTCCATAATATTTTTAGCCACAGAAAAAGTCACTACTACACGAGTGCTGTAGATCATGATGATGATTTTTCCAGCAAGTTGAGGTTGACTTTGAAGAATACGTAGGGGTGATAGTCCTGCTGCCCCAGTCCAGCCAACCCCGGCATGTCTATCTGCTGCAGTGAACAGTGTGTGTGTGTGTTTGGGCAAAGAGAGAGACAAGGTCAGTAAAGATAGGAGAGTGCGAGGCTTTTGTTTGTGTCACCATCCAAATTCTATGAATGTAGACACTTGGTGTGTGTGTGTGTGTGTCCATGGTGTGTAGTTGCCAAGACAACAAGCACCGCCTACCTCAGCCTCACTCTCGATGAAGCGGGAGTCAAGATGGCCGTAGAGCTGGTTGAGTGTCTCTGTCAGTTTCTTCTGTGCCTTCTTGTTGGGTTTCATGACCACAGCCTGGAAGTTGACTGGGAGACTGTACCTACACACACACACACACACACACACCAGTGAGGACTAAAACACCCACAGTCTCTACAGTAGGTCAACATACCTGAGAACTGACTCAGTGAAAACTCTCAGAGCCTTCAGATGGATCCACGCCGAGAAGGCCTGACTGAAGTTCACCTTCAGCCAGTTCATCAGTGGACCCTGAGGGACAGGGGAAATACTGTGAATAAGGGACAGTTTGGGGAAATAGAATTTGTCCTATACGCAAGTTGCAAAGGTGCTCCCTTAGTCCCAGGTAAGTATTCACTAGTATGGGGAAGAACCAAGTGTTCTTTATAGATATGTGCGCATTCCTAGTAGATAGGTGTTTTTTTTATTCTGAGAGGGTCCTTATTCAGAGGTTCCACTGTATGGATATAACACGGAGGGAGATGTGCTTGTTCCTAAAACACTCACAAACTGTTTTTTGAGTTGCATCTCAAGTTTTGACTTCTCGTGCCTCTCCTGAGCTATGGCCTTGGGGTCATAGGTGAAATCTCTCACGATAAATCTGTGTTGTAGGAAACATAGCACTGCTCCTGGGTGTGTACTACCAGACTGAGAAGACCAGAGAGAAAAGGGAGAGGAATAGAGGAAGGAGAGGAAGAAAGAGAGAGTTTGGTTCCTACTTATTCTCTCTGGACTTGGCTTTGAACTCCTCCACCACCTTGTGGAACATGGTCACAGAGTAGAGTCCGTACTCGGCGTCTTCGTGGACCAGGACAGAAGACCGCGGGACTATCATGTCCGTCAGTTTCTCGTACACGGCAGACCACTCCTTGTACATCACTCTGAGGAAGAGAGGGAGGGGGGGGGGAGAGGGAGGGAAAGCGGAGAGGGTGAGGGAGAGAGAGGGAGTGAAAGAGGAGAGGGAGAGAGGGAGGGAAAGAGGAGAGGGAGAGAGAGGGAGGGAAAGAGGAGAGGGAGAGAGGGAGGGAAAGAGGGAGGAGTAGCAGAGGAGGGGTGAAAGAGAGAGGGAGAGAGGGAGCGACAAAGAGGAGAGGAGAGAGGGAGGGTGAGGGGAGTGTCTTAGAGGATCGATGGAGTGATAGAAGGAGGGTCTATGCGCGAGGGAGTGAAAGAGGTGAGAGGAGAGACGAGGGGCGGGGAAAGAGGAGAGGGAGAGAGAGGGAGGGAAAGCGGGAAGAGTCCCAAACAAGCAATTGTACACTCACTTGGGAACCACCACCAAAAGTGTTATGAGGTATTCTGAGTTGAGGACAAAGTGTTCCTTGCGAACGACGTCTACTAGTGACCGAGTCATAAGGTTCCCCCTGCAGTGGTATATACCGCTGTCAGTGAGAGCTACAGCAGTGGCTAGTCTCACGTCTCCTTCCTCTCAATGGCCTGAAGGTTCTGCCTCAGCTGGTTGTAGGCCTGCGACTTTTGCTTTAGGTCTCCGTCAATCTGTGACACCAGCTGGCCGGGCAAGAGAGAGGAGGTGGAGCAGGAGAGAGGGAGGGAGGGGCTGGGCACTCACCTTACTAACGCCCTCTACAATGTTGAGGAGAGGTTGTCTGAGAGGGAACTTGGCACCGTCCCATGTGAACCTGGTCAGGAAATTCTCCATGGGGAGTTTGTTAGGCCCGACCAGCAGGTTCTCAGCCAGTCTCTCCTTGACTTCGTCTCCCAGTATGTCTGCCATGTACTGCGCCATCTTACGAACAACACTACAGTGTCGCACATACAATAGAGCTCATGTTCCTTGTTCATGCTCTCCTTTAGTCACCACACAAACAGTATGTGTAGTTTATTTACTATCATAGCCCCATACACCTATGATGTCGTAAAGGCACCATGCTCACTAGTAACACTACAATTGAATGGTGTACATACTTCTCAACGAAAGGGTCTAGTTTCTGCAGCTGGTCAGAGAGGCCTACCAGAGTATCCAGAGTCCCAACCTGAGGGGAGGCAGGGGTCATGGGTGCATACACACAGTATGACAGATAGTGTACACATCTACGGCAGTATAGAATAAAGAAGTGGTCAGTAAGGATGCCACAAGATGGAGGCTAGCAACAGTTCCTCGCAACAGAGACCTGCATCTCAGGAAGACCAAACTTGTGGCTGGCAGAGAGCTCCTTGGTCTTCTCTCTGATGTGCTCCCACATCTTCTTGGGAGTCGGCTCACCTGGGGCCGAGATCAGCCAGAACTCCTCCATGCCCACCTCTCCTCGCACTATATACACTTGGGTCTCAGCTGACAGGGGAGCAATTCTTTGGCTAGCGATACTAGCGATAAGCAGTCCTACACTCTAAAAAGGCTGTTGGCTGATTATTAGACTCGACAATAAGAGGAGAAGGAGCTGCACTAGTGGAGTCTTGAGCAACTGGTACGAACTGGGGCAGACGGTGAATGGGAGGGGACAAGCTGTGTATGTCTGCTAACACGATTGTACAAAGACAGTCTCAATAGCTACAGCCACACATGATCTCCTGAGAGACGTCATCCCCACCTCTCCCTCACCACGCCCACCCTACTAGAGCCTTCTATTCAGCAGTACCTTGTAGCCAACAAGCTCAGGACAATAGCTAGTGAATGAGGTGTCTTGTGCCTGTACCTTTAGCTCGGGTATGGCGAATTTGGTGCTGTGTGAGAGGTGAGAGGTTCTGTCAGCTATTTCACCCCAGCTGTCGTCGGGCTCCGGGTTCCCCGGGACACTGATCAACCAAAACTCTGCCATCATGAGTGCATTATGCAGGGAGAAGCAGGGCGTGTGCCTAGTGCGCGTCACGTGGGGTGTTCGCGGAGTTTCCTTGCGCATGCGTGGACACATGAATAGCTGCGCGTGCGCATAGGTTTATGGCAGTGGGAGGATAAGTGATATGCTATACGAGACAGGCAACAATATAATTGGTATATAACAAGTTGAGAGGGGTGTATATATAATTGCATAATCAGAGCCTGTGTGTGATGATGATAAAAAGGTTTGAATGAAGCTATTTGCGTGGCTCTCTCTGTGAAGACACATCGTACAATACTTCACTGTCCAGGAAATGAAACCTCGTTAGGCTGTCGTGGAGGGCAGGGACCTCCTCAAAGTTGTAGGGCTTATCCTGTAAGAGAAGAGGAGGTGGTAGAATGGGGGTAAACAAGAAGGACACCCCAAACACGAGGATACATCTCTAAAGGACACCTTACTTCTCCTCAAGAACAGTCCTTGCCTGCAATATAACCCCCTGAAATAAGGCCACCTCACTAATTTGGAGTCTTTCTTCTGTCCCATTACTGTCAAGATTAGAGGGGTTCCACTGATAGGTGGGGAGGCAGGAGGACCAACCTGTCTGAGGATGATGTCTCGTATTTGGTTGTAGATGAGTCGGCACTTGGAGAAATTGATGAGCCCGTCGCCATGGAAATTGGGGTTCCCATTGTCCAGGAATGTGAGGTCAGACATGTAAAGTCCCCTGCAGATAGAGATTACATAATACAGTCCATTTCCCTCACACCTTTTGTCCCTTCCACAAGTTGGGGAATAACCACCACTAAACAGGCTGGTTTGCCAAAAACATACACACTTTTGATACATGTGGTACAGAGGTCCACTCACAGGTATGGGATGCATGGGTTGCTGGCCTTCTTGAGCTCATCTCTGAGGAGCCTGAAGTTCTCCCCTGGTCTGGCCAGCTGCTGCAGGTCCTCCATCTTGCGGGATGTGACCTTGTCACACTTGGCGAAGCTCTTCTTGAGTCGCGTTATGGCGGGATGAGCCAGCCCATTGAGGATGGAGAGGAGTGTGCAGTAGTTGTGGAGTCGGTGGAGATGCTAAGGGGAGGGTGGGAGGGTGGGAGGGAGGGAGGGAGGGAGGAGGGGGAGCAGAGGGGGAGAGTAAGGTAAATGAAACTCACACTCGGCAAACTCACTTCTCCAACAAACATGAAGTCAGTTATTCTCCGAGCTCTCTCTTGAACATCCTGTAGTCAGAGTATTGAGATAATATAGAGTGGTTTGGACTCTACATGTTAAACCAAGGCAGTGGAACAGTGGAACAGCTCTCAAAAGCACATTATGTGACACCATCTCACCAAGAACGGTTTATTAACATGTAAAACGACCCCTAAAGAGGGCCACCTCTCCAACATGGATAGTTACATGGAATCCTTGAAGGGAAGAAGAAGAGAGAGAGGGTGGAGACTGACCCTCTGAGAGAGGATGGTAGTGGCCACCCACAGAGTCAAGTTGTTCATCCTCTCCACCAGTCGCAACAGGTTCTGAGCTCGACCTTTGTACTTTGGTTTCTGCCATGCCTTTGAAGGAGAATGGAGCGATAGTGAGAGGGATTCAGGAGAAGAGAGAAGTGAGGGTTACAGTACAGACCTGGTTGAGCAGCTCAGAAGGCTTGATCCTGGCAAAGAGGCTGAAGTCGATGATAGTCATTTGCCGTGCGATCTCCTCGGGGTCAAAGTCAAACACACTCAGAACGGCAGACGGGGTGTCTGGGAACTAAAGAGACCACACCCACGCACTAACTCAAGTACGGTGCCATGAGTACGGAGCCAGCATACCTTGACTGGAGGCAACGGCTCACGGAATGTCTTCAGGTTCCTCTTCTGAATAACACCCTGAACACACAACACTAACATAAATACTCACTGGAACAAACTCAATGTGAGCGAACCTGAGTGTGAATTTAGGTGTATGTATGTTCACAATTACGTAAAGCATTAGAGTTGGACAACATTGTCTACAAAGTGATACGCAAACCATCGCACAATTCAGTCGACTCAGATAGTTCACAGGAGGTGTACAGTACATGGTAGACAGCTGACCTTCAAGACTAGGATGGCGTTGCGAAGAGGTTTGCAGAACTTGGAATGGTCCACAGTCAGCACCATCATCACAAACCTCAGGACTGCATCTTGCAGTGGCTGGTTGTCTGAGGAGAAAGAGTCACATGATGACTCCTCTTCATGTCATGAGCAAACAGAGTGCAGTGAAAATCCTCTGAATAAGGGATACCTTGAGGGACTAGTGCCCTTTATTCAGAGGGGCAACTTATTCGGAGGTAATGTGAAGTACTGTATTAATGCTGCAGAACCAAGTGTCCCTTACAGAGAGGTGCACTGTATTCAGAGGGTCCTGTTTCAGAGGTACTAGTAACCACCTTATGTAAATACCTTTAAAGTCGACACTGAGGTCGACCCACAGTCGCAGAGCGTTGATCACTCTCGCCTGGATCGTCTGTCTCATTACATCAAATTCCTTCAGGGGCATCCCCTCGGGACACACCACGTTGTATCGCTCGATGAGTTTCCTGAGCAGTTTCTCTGGAGTGGTGAATGCCTGGTAGGTGAACAGGAAGGTCTTGACAAACTCCAGGTCTGCGGAAGAGATGGAGAATGATCACAACACACAAGACTACCATTATCATTGGAATAAACCCAATACTCAATGCATTAATGGTAAGTAATTCTCTGGTTGATGTAAAGCATTATGAATATCCCCTACAGTACGGTGCCATACTCATGGTACCATGAACTTAGTGCACCAATAAAACCTCTGAATAAGGGACAGCTTTGGAACATTGAACATTCAGAAGTGTACATATACTGTAAGACACTAATGTAGTATGGGGCAGAACGACGTGTCTTTCATAGAGAGGTGTCCTTCATTCGGAGTGCCCTGACTCCTTCCCTCCCCCTCATCCCCTCTGCTAACCATGGTCTCTGGTGCTGGTGACTCTCTCCACCAACTTATTGAGAGTGGCTCCAATCACCAGGCCGTTCCTGTCGTAGCGGATGTTACTCTCAGACTCCAGGTCCTCCTCCCAGATATTGGCATCGTCTGGTGGAGGAACACATGTCCAGTAATACCACCCACTGCACAATGCTAGGGACTATGGCTATGACTGGGACAATGGAAACAATGTTTCCGACAGGGATTCTACACAGGACGATTTGGGACAAATACAGTAGGAAATACTTGGGACTTCAGTGAAACCACTAAACTATAGACAGGACACCTTGGTGAAATCGATAGTATCAGTATGGGGCAGAACCAAGTGTCAATACAGAGAGAGGTGTCCCTGAGGTACCACAAGGGTGCCTAATGAGTGGGTGGAGCAAAGAGTAAGAGTCACCTTCCACCATGGAGCTGATGGACTGTCTCTTGTCGTCAGCCACAGGCGCAGGGGACGCGGGGTTAGACCTCGTACCCCCGCCAGATACGGAGCCACCAATGGAGGTCAAAGGTGAGACCAATTCCCCTGTCCCCACTATCACCAGATTCACATGTTCCTGTTCCACCACTCCCTGGTTATGGAGGGAGAGACTCGGGTCCAGTCGTATCCCTGGAGACAGCAGAACTCTCATAACACTCCTGACAGAAGTGGGCGGAGTCTGACCTTCGTACTTGAGGACACACTTCTTCTGATGACCAACTCCGTACCCTGCGGCAGAGGATGTCCCTCACCACCTGACATGGCTGACTGAAGTCCACCAGCAGAGAGAAATAGCTACAGGAACAGAAAGAATATTAGTGAGGGGAGGGAAGAGGGAAGGAGGGTTTACCTCTCCAGATCTCTGTCAAATGATACTCGAATTGGCTTGTGGAGCATGTGCATCACTAACGAGTCCTGATAGGCAGGAGTAATCTCGTCAAGGTGGTCCCACATGGACGCATCGCTTGGCAACTGGACGTCGTCATGGAGAAAGAGGCCGTAGAAGCGAGGGTCGTACTCCAGTGAGCTGTGAGAGGTGAGAATAGACCTCTCAACTCTCACGGATTGGCTGTAAGAGTCACAATTATTGGCCATATGTACACCTCACACTCTAACGGGGAGGAAGGGGTCTTGTTTGTGTTGTTGCGTTTATATTTCATTTTCATTCTTAGATCGGAATTTTGCACTGAAAAAGCCCACATATGTACAAGTCTGTTTCAGGTTCATTTATTGGTATCCAACGCGTACACCCGTACTGCTACATAACTTGGTAATTGTAGCAATGTGAGGGGTGAGGGGTGAGGTGTGAGGGGTGAGAGGAGGGACTCACGCGGTGGTACAGAGGAGTCGGACTACCTCAGAGACCAGAGTCTGCTGCGACACCAGGAGCTCCGTGGTGTAGTAGGGCCTGTCCAGGTCCCCGCTGTGGTCGTGAGGGTACACCCGTAGCTGGAACTCCATTGGTCGGAACTTGGGCTTGAACTCCAGAACATCCTACAACAGCAACGAGGTTTGTTAGCTCTCGTCTCTCTCCCCCCACTTACTGCTTGTGGTGTTTGCCTGCGAGGGCTCTAATTACCCCTATTTATACACACACGGTCTGTGTAGTTTCTCACAAACACACACAGCGATGTCACAAAAGGCAAAACAAAGGCAAACAGCTCAGCCATGTGTACATGTACACCCAGGACAACTCCTCTCCCGAAGAGCTGCCCAAGGTTTCAAAAGAGCTACCCTGGGTAGGATTCAAAACCCATGACACTCGGCAGTCTCTAAGGATCTTCATACGTCATAGACAGCTACACAATATCTACTTTAGCTACTGGTCCAGCTGTTGCTGACTTCTGGAGAGAACGTTGAAAACTCCTCTATAGTGAAACCTCGCGAAAGGTCCCTCTGAATAAAGTACACCTCTTTACAGACTCGGTTCTGCCTCGTACTGATACATTGGTGTATTATATATATGTAGGTACACCTCTGAATGCAGGACACTTGTGGTGTCCCCCAAATCTTATTCACTGCTCTCTCTCCCCTCCTCTCTCTCCCCCAGCACTCACAGTGGGTTTGAGTTTGTAGGCCGCCAGAAACTTGAAGTCCTCCATCCAGACACCTCCCCTCTCGTCTTTGGTGGACAGGTAGAGACTCATGTGCTCCCACCTCCTGGTCTCTGGGTCAGGAACTCTCCTCATCAGGGTACTGCCATAACACACAGAGAACATGAAACAGTTGTTAAGTCTAAAACACACACGGTTTTAGGTACGCTTCAACAAGTGTTGTTGGAGAACTTGTCAGTAGTATATAGCACAGTGGAACCCCTCTCTAAGGACCCCCCGAGAAAGAGGACACCCCTCTCATTAGGGACACCGTTCTGCACCCGAAATACACTATTCTGTCACATGGTCAGAGGGTCCCACTTTATACTGATAACACTAGCTGTGCTAGATTACATTGTAGGACTGCAAGTATGAAATGTGAACTGACCTGATTAGTTCTCCCACGGTCTCGTCCAGACAGACTTTGACCTTTCTGGAGCTGTGGATGTTGGGTATCTTGACAGTCAGAATGACAGTCTGCATCCTTCCCACTGACAACTGAGCCAGATATCATATATCATTACCATATCAATACAGTAGAGTGTACCTGCCCCACCAAATGGTTTTCTAATTCACCCAACAAGCCACAATCAATTCCCTTCTCTTCTTCAGCCACAATCCATTAGCATGAGACACCCAACACCACCACACATAACCACGCAGCAAGCCAGCCTGTTAGGGAGACTAGCAGCCTGGCTAGCTCACTCAGTATATAGACAGTAGTGTGGATAGTCCCACATGGTGGCTCCTTATGTCTGTATTGAAACTCACTCTGCATTCCAGGACATCAGATGGCAGTAGTTGGTAGTGTACCATGCTCTCCCCCACCTCCAAACTGGGAGGACATCGAGAGAGGGAGCCAGAGAGGGGGAGAGAGAGAGAGGGAGAGAGAGGGAGAGAGAGAAAGGGAATTGTAACACACACTCTCTACCCAAGCATCTACTTATACCAAGTATCACTGATAAGCTGACACATGACAGCTAGAGGCTCTCTGCTACAAGTCTTCCTACAACTGAGCTTTTATACTGCGAAACAGCTGCTTTTATAATCCCCCATTACACACTGGCTTACCACACCATAGCCATGGCAAACTGGGATTGATCAGTATAATTCTCTGCTGTGAGTGTGTATACTAAGTACATGTAATGAATTATCGGTGAGTGAAGTGTGAGGGGACGACGGTTGATATTACGTACAACATCATGGTACGAACAGTGTCGTCTATAATATACAAATATAGTGCAACTCATACGAGTACGTGGGCTACCCAACTGTGGATGTGTGTGTTTGTGCCCTATGACGGAGGCAAGGCGAGGGACCCCACAGTGATGGCACAATGACAAGCCAAGAGCTTGGAATGCTAAGAATGTCGATCACCAAAGACACGTAATCACGTCAGCCACACAGTAAGGAAATCTTGTCTCACACTAGTCCATTAACAAGATCAGCTAATAGGAATTATCTCAGAGAGCAGCTGCTCTGCCAGAAGTGGTCTCTGTGAGTTACCAAAACAGCCGGTGCCCCCAGCTCACTCACTTGGCTCTCAGTCGTACGTGGTAGAGAGAGTAGCCCTGGGCAGCGTTGAGCGGAGGACTGGCCATACTGAGGACCTGGTGGAGGACGTCGAAGACCGTGCTGAACTGGTCATACTCCACAGTCATCTCACACTCCAGATGTGGGATCACCACTCGCACACTCCGGTACGCCGGCTCCAGAGGTTTCAGCTCCAACTTACACTGCAAGTGGTGATGTAGGTGTGGGGGATGGGGAGAGGGCAATGACACATACGTAATGTTTAGACAAATACAGAAAGCACCAAAATAGCACCTCTTTAGTTTCATAACACATGCTTCCTGGAACAAAGTGTTATTGCAAGGGACTAGCTCTGTCACCTTGGCCTTCGGATGGACCACTGTGTCTCTCCTGCGGGGACTGCTAGTGTCACTTCTAACACTGAAACTTCGACCGAAACTGAGCCTAGAGCTCTGTCTCGTGGCAGTGCTGTGTCGACGTTCCTGAGTCTTGTTCCTCATGCTGTACGTCCTGCCAAAACTACGTCTGAGGCTCCTCCTCTTCTTAGTCGACTTGGCCACAGGGCTGGTGTTGGTGACTGGACAAGAGGGGCGTTTGGGTCCACCGCGGGGAGCAGAGTGGGCGGGGCTAGCAGCCGGCTCCAGGTCACAGTCGGAGAGACTGAATGTCCCATAGCCACTCTCCAGGGAGTCGGCACTGGCTCTCCTCCGCTCCCTGTCGCAGGTCTCAGCTGGTCTGGGGACCTGCACCTTGTAGCCTTCCAGTTCCCCAGTCCCTAACACGGCCAGTTCAACACAACTCTTGCTCCAGACCTTCCTCCCCTGTCTCAGCCTTGTAGCAGGCAACATGATCACAACCGCTAGCTACAAGACTACGGCACACAACTGAACGGAGATATGCGACACTAGGTTTTACCGGCAGGAAAATGTTTACACAAACAGCTGTTTCACTTTCTTCTTACACTAGCTCCGACTGCCTGTGAGTTTAGCATAACATGCAGAATTCCCTGGAACTGGCCAAACTAACGGGGTTTATATACGCTCGGTGCCAGGGGGTGACGTTTGTAGGCAGTTCTTGGCAGGAGACGTGATCCAATAACAACAGTGACGTCCATTGACCAGCCACCAAACATGGAACAACTGGCAGACACCTCTTGTCTCCCTCTCCTCCTCCTCCTCCCCCCTCTCCTTACCTCCACCCTCCCCCTCAGAGTTATTGTATGTCTCAGAACTGCACGCTCAACTGCACCTTGCTGACTTAGCCCTAAGCAAGCAACTCTGTTGTAAGCACACAAGTGACTGAGACATCACTGTACTGTTCAGAGCATTATCGTGCCTTTGACTGAACATTAAGGCTTCTTATACCAAAAACAGTACTGGCAATGCATTAACTAGTTTTGCACCTTTTCATCTTATTTTTTAGGCTAAAATCTAAGGTTGAAAAAATCTGTGGGCTATCCGAAAGAGTTATGCTTACATATCATACTACACTAAAAATATAACTGAATGTTATACACCGTCGTCGTGACGTCTGTCTGGAGAGATGGAGGGCTGGCCATTGTTTTCAACCTTAGAAGTTACTGTTTTGTCTGAAACAATGCATGGAATGGCAATGCCAAACTTTACACTGCCCTTCGAGAAACGTAGGTCAAGAACCAGAGCTGTTCCCAGCCACTGCTCTGGACCACCTGTCAGTCTCAGTGTGGGTCCGGGATTCAAACCGGGCACCTTATGCTGACAGTCCCCACATCTCTAACCACTTAGCCACTTGGTCTGGCTACGAGAGGTGATGACGTTCCTCATAATATCAACACTCATATTACATCATTATAAAAAGAACACCCCATACCTCACGATCCCCAGCCACCAGACCACACCCAATACTTGAATGAGGAAGACTGTACATACATATAATAGCAATTTGTTTATGCTGGATTATCACATTTTGTCACTAAAGTGCAAACCATCGGCAGACTATGAACAACTAGAAACATGCACCTAAGGGCTGGGCTATTTTTACTAAACTCATGGTCTGTTGCGAGCTAGCTTGTTGAGAGTCTGTCCTACACTATTAGATAGTAGCAGGAGCCGACACTCACCCTGAGTTGCAACTTCTGGTGCCTACAAGGTGCACAGAGCAAGCAGACCAGATTGAGGTAGCCTGTGCAAATTGGCAAATTTTAAGTTCCGTGGCCTATATGACCCGTTCTGTGGTGGATGCTTCATTCAGCAGTATTCTGCGGTGGATGATCCTTCTTCTAAACCACTTTAACTACCTTCCCGTATAACATGAGCGTGGACGGTGTTGGTTTGTAGTAAGATATTCAGTGAATGCTTGGTCTCTTGAGTATATATACATGGACCACTGAAGACTCGACTATATACCACCCGTCAAGTAGATCTCTGTATGTTTGGTAGCTCCTTGGGACAGTTTGTCAGTCCATGTGAGAAAGTTCATTAAATCTCGTGCAATTTCCGACTGTGGCATTTACTGTACTGTCAGTGCCTTGACACACCCACACATTGTGCTACAACCAGACCACTCATATCCCCCTCCCCCATTGTGCTCCCACTCATATTTCTATCTTCCTCCCCCCCTCCTTACCTCAGTTGGCAGCTGGTAGGTATGGAGGGCGTGGTCCTCTTCAAGCCACTCCCACCCCTCCTCTCCCTGCGGTGTATATACAGGGGAAACCCAATATCTCAAACTGTGTTCAACAATTACCCAATTACTCCAACAATTAAGGGTACATGTGTATGAGGAGGTGCTAATGATTGCTCTGTGCAGTGGAGCTTAGAGTCCACTTCAAAACGTTTGCTAAGCATTCAGCCGTCGTTTACTTTTGGGTATGAGAGCTACTTGTGTCCAGCACAGCGAACTTTACGCCCACACGTACAACATCTACGTTTCTGTAAACAATAGCATTCTAGTCGTACCTCCCCCAACTACTGTACATCATGCACACCACACTATGTAGCCATGTACAGTACACACCTCCAGGTAGTGGCAGAGATGGAGATTAGACAACTGCTGGACATGAACCTTGTACCGCTCGTGGAATTGCTGGAGACGAAAATGAAAACCACACCCCATAAACATACGGTATCCATGGTGACATGGTTGACAAACCTTGAGGAGGGCGACGCGGAGGCACTCTATCTGTGTGTAGGGAGAGAACCGGCACTTGAGGACGGCTCCCCTCCCCTTCTGACCCTGTGCCACGTCAGCTGGGAGAGACACACTCACCACACACAGCTCAGACAGGAGCATGGACTTGCGGTGTGCCTGCCTCAGACCCAGTCTCCCTGACTCGGCCGTCCCTCGCTGCCCTCTCTCCCCAACTGGCCCCAGACGATTCTCCTGCAGGTAGAGAGAATCAACCCTTCCCTCACTGCCAGTCACACACCTCCCATTGTGTTCTCACATAGCCAGACTCTTACTCAGAGGAGAGAAAAAGTCTGCTCCACTGATGTTAACCGTTTTGTTTAGTGCGCCCCTAGCTTTTAGAAATATGTACGGCATATGTTGGGTTTAGTTACTTATGACTATACTACACTCTATGCACAGCATTGGTTAGCATGCTTGGCCAATGTGTGTGCTGTGCTGTGCATGCACAATGATAATGATGTAAGAGGCACGCAAACCAAAATAGTGTATATCATTGGATCACACTCTTTCTCTCAGTCTGGCTACGTGAGACTAGTGGTCCCTCACGTGGAGACTGAGGCTGGCGCTGTCCCGGGAGGGGAATTCCCCACCGAGTCCTGAGTCCGTACTGAGAGCAGAGTCCCTGGTCCGTGTCAGTACTCCTGGTGGTCTCAGTTCCACGGCTGAGGTGGAGGCTGTTAGTTGTAGAGGTCTGAGAGGTTCACACGAGTCTGACATTGTCACACTCAGGGCAGGCGGCTGGGGCTGTGAGGGACCTGTATACATTGTATATGTGTATAATAGAGAGGGGGGGAGAGAGGCATGGACCAGGCACCACAAAGTAAGAGAGAGCTCACCTGATGTGCCTGCATCACTCTGGTCCTGACTGACCCTCTCAACCTCTGACCCCCTCTCTCTGCTGGCTGGAGGAGACACAGATCTCGTAGAGAGGACCTTGCGAGCTCCCTCTCCCCCCTGCTCGGCCAGCGAGGAGGGACCCAGTGGCAGCTTCTTCCTGGACTTGATGCTGAGTCTCTGTCTGGCCCGGGAGCTGAGCTGAGGCTTCCTGCCCAGTTGGAGCTGTTGGTCCATGGAGCCCCGCACTGCCTCCACATCCAGGTCCATTATGGCAGGTGGGAGAGCTGTGGGGAACAAATCCCAGGGCTCATTCAGGAGGTGGGGCACTTGATCAAACTCTGCCCCTTTGTGTTGCAAGCACACTGTCTTTGCCTACTCTTACACCCTTCTCTCCACTCACCTGGACCCATGGGTCTGGTGACCACCCTCAGACTGAACTCAGGGATGTTCCTGACTTTAGTGCCGGTGTAGAGTGTGTCAATGGAGCCAGCTCTGCTCCGCGCCTCCTCCCTCACCTCCTGCTCCCGCGCCTGCTGCCTCAGTTTCCTCTTGACTCTGTCCAGAGTCTTTGTCTCGTACATCTCACTGCCCGCCATCTTCACCACTGCACACACCACACACACAGCCCACACAACGCTGCCTCATGTACCACACACTTAAAAAGACTGTGCATTATTGTGCAAGCTAGCTAGCCCACTACACTATCTGGTATAGCTCTAATTACTACTTTACTCTTGTTGTCATGGAGATAAGTTGAAGCAGCAGAAAGGTTGTAAACACACACTCACTCACATCCCCCCCACACCACCACTCACCACTCACCACTCTCAACCTCATAATACCTATTTCCTACTACCTCCACCACTACACAGGCAATAGCTTCACTCACTATAATGAAACTGCAGTGCAGAGAAGCTGTCCCCTACACCGCCTGCTAATGACGTGGCTGCCATTGTTTTGGAATGAGCTAACACTTTGGCAACCTGGACAGCATCGCATGCACTTGGACACGAGGGAAAGCTTCACTTTGGCAGAGGCCCGGGACCTCTTACTTTGGCAAGGCTGGAGCCATAGTTGAAGCAACATGATCCTCGCCTGCTGACTAAGTGTGTACATAGTGGAATAAGATACTTACCATAAAGCATCACACCCTACATCTCTACATAGCCCAACGTGTATGCAGGCGCAGTTAGCTAACAGACTGAATTCCTATTCAAACAGAGACATGTAGGGAAGATATAGACTGACATGCACTGGCAGGTAAACAGTGCAGATACACTGACACGGTGAAACTCAGCATGCACGGGTGCTAACTGTCTACCTATCAACCTTCAACTGACGTATTAGAACCACTGGTTATCATGCACAGCCACCCACAACCCCCAGCTACATACACTCGGCCCAGCTCCGAGCGAAGCCGTCTCACGTGTGGACTGCGGCTCAACTGACGGAAGTAGAAAGAGGACTAAGCTTCACTACAGAAACCATCTGCTGAAGTAGACACACGAGAACTGTCCTCGGGGCGTCCCCACCTCACAATCTCTCGCATCGGTGACTCTCCGCTGCAGATCGGAGATCCTGCGGTCCCAATTACTGTGCGTGAGAGAGCTGAGGAGGGTGGGGCTCTGCGCGCGCGTGTAGAGGAGGCGTGGCGCCCTCTCCTCCCCCACGTGTAATAAAATTGGCACAATTTCAGGTGGTGAATTATGACGAAGGATCAGGGGAAGCTACATGTAAATGTCCAGATTTCTTGACAGTTAGTGCTGTCAACAGATATCCTCCATGGCCATCCATAGTCATTGATGGATGAGTTCTTTCTGGTAACACCTGGTGTGTGTGTGTGTGTGCATGTGTGTGCGTGTGTGTGTGTGAAAGAGAGGCCTGAATGGTGTTCAGCCCACCTGGTAATATCTGGTCCAAGTCTCACTGATTTCAACATCAAACACCACGTCTTCTTTTTGCTTTAGGGTTTTGTAACAATCAATGAGTGGCTGAGGTGATATAGCATGGAGCAGTCAATGAGGTAGCCCCTACTATGATGAGGTCATAATGATGCAATACCTCCAGTAGGTGGCAGTAGACTACTACAGGTCTTGAAGGGGCCAGAAGTCCCAGGAGAGCAGTCAGCAATGGCTCTGGGTGGAACCGACATGCCAACACCAGTCTGGATGGAACACCCAGTGAAGTCACTCCTGCCATGGTGTGTATATATGTGCCACGTACCCATCCATTCTCTTTTGTCTCAGGAGTTTCTCAGCAGTGGCATATCTCTCCTCACGCTCCTGACGACGTCTCTCACGTTCCTGCATGCCCGTGACCTGACAACACATTCTCAAACACTCCCAGCATGACACACCTCTCTATTCCCAGCCGGTGCAACTCCATCACTAGTTCGATCGCAGGCTCTTTCCTCACTCAGGCTGAGACCTTCAGTACTGCCTGACAGCTTGGCCTTCTTGGGGGGCTGGGGAGCTAACTTACCCTCAGAATCACGATCCGTGCCACTGTCAGGGGACGACGTCTGGCTACCAGCTGGCCCTGCTGTCTCCTCTGTCCCTCGATGGTGGTCAGTCTCTTCCACAGGTCCCTCAAGAGGAAAAGTGGCTCCAGAGCTGCCCTCCGCCCCACACCTCATCCGAGACAGTACAGAAGACTGGAGGACGGGAGGGAACCTGGACCCAATGCGGTGGAGTGGGTACTCTAGAAGAGGTGACTTGTCCAGCTGTGATAGATGACTTGAGTTCTCCACTGCCAACCTGGTAATGAGGGACCTCTCAGAACTTGCTCCGAACACAGACACAACAGCTGGCCTTGGCAACAAACACATCAGCTAAAGTGACTCACTTGACTGGAAAATCGCCAAAGAAAACCTGCACCAGGTTGCCAAGTCCTGGGGAGGGACAACTGAGAGGACTAATTGACAGGTGCAACCTCGCACACCTCCCATCCTCTCCAGCATCGCCGTTAGCAACAGACCCTGGGTCGTCTCCATGACTACCATGTTGGAATGTGGATGTACATTGGAGTAGGTGAGAATTTGAGCGACAGTGTCAGGTCTCATGTGACTGTTAGAGATAGATAACACCACTCCATAGCACACAGGTATTATATATGTGTGTATGTACCAGATTTTGGAGGGGCCTCTGGAGTAATACATTTCACACAGGGTGCGTGTGGACGGCTTTAGGATGGTGATGACTGGAGCATGTCTACAGAGATGATGTCATAGGAAATTAGACCACACACCACATCAGGACCTCACTTTTTCCTTTTCTTGTTGATGTATTTCTCTTGTGAGAACTTGGTCTTGATTTTGAAGGAGTTACTGTGCTCTACCACAGTTCCCACCACTTCCTGGACCAATTAACTATAGCCACGCTCCCCAGTGTGGGCGGAGTCTGCCTGACCTTTCCTCGACCTTCAGCCCTGAGTTTGAGGATGGCTCCCTCTTTCAGGGCCTGTGCGGACCCATCGTCCACTATTTCTCTGTTGTCATGACCGCACTCTGAGCCCCCACCTTTGACCCAGGGTACGTGAGGGCACAGTCACAAAAGGGTTAATTACCTTCACCCTGTGTCTCATTCTCCTGAACCAGAACCAGCTGTTGACGGTGAACCTCGAATTGACTGCCATAGTAGCACCCCAAGGCACCGTCGGGGAAGAAGGACAGCTTGTCAAACTGGACTTTCCTGTGGAGAAAGGCAAATACAGCTCACTGTCCGTAAATACCACTCACTTTCCCTGAAACAGCTTATGGGCTTTGTACACCTTTTCTCTCTGTATCAGGACCACCACGTTCTCTGCAATCTTACAGTCAGTCATTCTTCCACGCTGTTTCGGAAGTGCGCATGCGCGTGAACTCTCACGCTTTTGGCTCTGGGGAAGACGTTGGTGGAAACGTTGGTCGGCGAAGGATCTAGTTCAATCTTTGGACAAGGTGCGTTTAGAGATGGTTAGAGCTGGAGTAAAGGAGAGAATTACTGTTATTTGAGTTCTAGATAATGTAGAAATCGGCTGCAGAAGTGCAACATAGTCTGGTCGGGTCACACGTGTGACTCATCCACACTTCTCTGCATCCGTTAGGGTGTAAGTGTAGAGGATGCCTCCTAAGTTTGATCCCAACCAAGAGTACATAGGTAAGGCTGGTGCAGTAGAGAAGTTACCTCTCTGTGAACTGGTGGGCAGGGCTGTTTGTGTGTCCATGTAGTGTACCTGAAAGCAGTCGGTGGTGAGGTTGGGGCTACCTCTTCCCTTGCTCCTAAAATCGGACCTCTCGGTCTGGTAAGAACCAGTCACCCAGTGTTTCACGTCAACAACAGCGCCTCTCTCTCTCTCCACAGTCTCCTAAGAAGGTGGGAGAGGATGTGGCCAAGGCGACAAAGGACTGGAAGGGGCTGAAGGTGACGGTGAAATTGGTGGTGAAGAACAGGCAGGCAGCCATTGAAGTGGTGCCCACTGCTGCCTCACTCATCATTCGGGCTCTCAAGGAACCACCACGAGACAGGAAGAAGGTCAAGCACGGTGAGTGACCTATGGGTCTGCTGTGTAGTGGAACTCTCCCTATAGACACCCCTGAAAATAAGGACAGCTTTTGATAAGGACACATTTTCTGTCCCTAACAGTTCTTGCATGCAATCTAACCTCTGATATAAGGACACCTCACTGATGTGGACCCTCCTGCTGTCCCATTGGTGTCCAGATTAGAGGGGTTCCACTCTAACGAGGTGTTGTCCCTCCCATCCAGTGAAGCACAGTGGAGACCTGACGTTGGAGAAGATCATTGACATAGCCAGGACCATGAGACCACGCTCGATGGCTCGCCACCTCTCTGTCAGCCTCTCTCTCTCTGTGTCTAGTAGTGAGGTGGGCGTTGTACAGGTACTGTGAAAGAGATTCTTGGCACATGTCAGAGTGTTGGCTGCACCGTGGAGGGTTCTCACCCTCATGACAAGGTGGACGACATCAATGATGGGACCATCTCCATTCCAGTGAGTCCAAACGTCACTCTATAGGCCTGTTATTTACCGTTGTTTTTTCCTTTCAGGATGAGTGAGTACTTTGTCACAAATTGATGTTGCTCATGAAATTGTTTTATTGTGTAAGAATCGATGATTATTGTTGAGCACTGATCAAAATCGTTAGTTATTGTTGAGGTAGCTACTTGGTCATCTGAATTGCCAAAGTGCAGAGGTCATGTCTGCTACTTGTTCTGACAATGTATGGATGTGGTGTGGCCACAATGTATTGAGCATGCACGAAGTTGCCCTCAGTATGACTGGATGCTGCCAAACACATTCAAGTTATATTATATACTGCACAGAGGTCTGAACTTCCATTTGGTGGCATGAGATGTTAGTTGAATGCTGGGTGGATTATAAACAGTTATGAAGATGACTAGTTTGCTATGATTGATGGTTCAGCCTTGACTGGCTCTAGCAGCTCTCTCTTGACTGGTCTCTTCTTCCTCCCCCACGGACCTCCGTCCTTCAGCTTGCTGGAAGGGCAGATATCCTCATTCAGACAGCCCCGGCACTTGGGGGCATTAGGGAGACAGCGTTGCTGGCCGAACCCCACCAGCAGCCAGTTCAGCTCCCTCCACTCTGACCTGAATCAACACACAACACTGAGTCAGTTGATGGCCTGGTAGAGTGGCAGGCACACTAGAACATAACGTTGAACGTCAACGTTAACTCTACACTACAAGGCAACAGTGTTACCTTAATTAGTGTGTTAATAAACGAGTAAAAGGGTTTTAAACATGGAACATGTGGCCAGATGAAAGGAGAAACACGCCATATCAAAGGAGTGGATAATACACAAGACTCTTGTTCCTCAAACATTCAAAAGAGCTCCTCCCTTTACATGTGTGTACCCCAATTTTGGTGAATTGGCCTTTGACCCCTTGACCCGTAAGGCTTACTTAAATTAACGCACAAACTTATTAAATCTGCGTTCAGAGTAACTAACAGTTGTTACTTAGTGCATTGTAGACGGAGTCGTCTTACAACTGGCACGGGGCGTGACAGGGCAATGCCATGTAGACGGAGTCGTCTTACAACTGGCACGGGGCGTGACAGGGCAATGCCACGTACGGTGAACCCAGTCTTACTTTGGGAGCCACTTCTCAATGCAGACTCGCGTCACCTCCGGATTCTCAGTAGGTTTCCTCATCCAGCCCAGCCGGTGGGAGATCCTGTGGACATGGGTGTCTACTGCCACTCCACTGGTGCTGTCCCAGGCAATGTCCATCACCAGGTGAGACATCTTGGGTCCCACTCCCGGCAGGGAACACTGCAGACACACCACGGACCACTCAAATCCGTATCACGAGACACACACTATAGTCTTGTGCCCAGACCCACCCTGAAACAGGTGGCTTTTGGACAATGTTTTGGTTGTGCTGACGCGGCAGTCTCAGTTTTGAGATATATAATCAGATTGCTGTACATATATACTTGCCACCAGTGTGAATGTTGTGCAATCGTTAGTAAGATATCTCGTGAACTCAGCGTGACCATAAAACAGACCTTTCCAATCGACAATGATGAGTCAGCAATACCAATACACTGTTCAATAGTCACCAGACCATTTTCCTCTCCTGAGAGTGGGTGTGGTCTGGGCACTAGACTACAGGTGCACTGGAGAACCTACCAGCTGGTCCATGGTAGCAGGAATATCTCCCCCATACTCATCCAGCAGTATTTGAGACACTCTCTTGATATAACCAGCCTTCTTCTGTGTAGTATATAGAACAATATCCAGCAATAAGGCTAGTAAGAGAATTGAAGGGGCTTACCCTCCAGAATCCCACTGGATGAATCAGTTTGGCAACCTCTTCCTCTGGGGTGCTGATGATGTTCTCGATGGTGAGACCGTGTGTCTTGAGAGCTGTCATGGCCTTGGCGGTGATCTGGTCTTTGGTCTGACTGGACAGCATCAGTGACACCAGCACCTGATAGCGACGGACCTGTAACAACAGAGCCACAGAACATGATTAGTTAGACGATGAGAAAACATAACTACTTGGATTTAGGAGGCCAAGGCCCTGTCCAGTGCGGATGCTACTACACGGCCCGAGGCTTCCTAAATCACGTGGTTTCCAAAACTCGTCCCCTAACTATTTTCGAGTGGTGCTCGCAAAATATGAATATGTCCCAAAGGCCCTGGTGATGAACACTATCCAATAGCGTTCTACTCCTCATCTACTAAAGAAACTACGTGGACCAGGTCTCTCCTAGTTGACCAATCAGATATGACTTCAAACTGCTGTACTCTAAGCGAGAATCGGCACATGACGTACCTGAGGAGAGACGTTGGTGGTCTGCTCAGCATTCTTGTGAGCCCCCATGAGGTCCACAGGAGCATCTCTCTTCTCCCTCATCTTGGAGATGTTCTCCAGCTGCTGTCTCCAGAGAGGAGGCTCCCACCCATCGTCCTCCGCCAGCTCCTGTTTCAGTCTGCTCGGGCCTCGCGGACTCTTCCTCTTCCTGCTAGCCCCCTCCTCATCAGGACAGGGGCTTACCCCTCCCTCCTCCAGCGACGAGGTCATGTCCACTCCTGCCAGACTGCCAAATGTGGCTCCACTCATAGGTGAGGGGTGAGCCGAGGCCCCAGGGGGAGTAAGGGTAGGCAGAGGAGTGATCAGGGTTAGGGTAGCCAGGGGGGTAGGTATACAATCCTGGATAGTGGGTGACAGCTGTGTTTGTTGCACCATTAACCAGTTGCATGTTGGACTTGACAGGACTAGAGAAAGGTTGGAATTGGGTATGTGAAAGGTCTTGAGGTAGGGTGGTGGTCTGAGTGGGATGAGGATACCACAGAGTTGAAGGAGACATGAAGGACGGTGAGTGCTGTAACCTCGAAGAACACGACCCATTACCAACCCCAGGCTCTGTCTTGACACCACAGGGACTAAAGTGGTCGTGTGGTGGCGGTCCCCCGCAGTAGTAGCCGGACGTGTGCGGCTCAGGGAACTCCTGTTTCACCCTCACACCGCCGCCTGGCGGCCGTCCGGTCACGCAAAGTAAAGACACGCGGCGACGGAAGAAAGACTCTCTCACCTTCGTACTCCAGAGAAATGTGTGGTCTCTTCCTCGAGTCCTCGTAATGACCGACTTGAAGACCATCCTGTGGCTCCATTGTGAAGGGGATGAGTCGCGGCACGAGCAAGCTCCGCCCCCATGTCTACGACTTGCGCATGCGCAGTTACGCACGCGAATATCCGCAAGCAGATCCCTCCGAAAGGGAGTTGTTAACATCTGGGCGTTTTACTTTCAATGTTGTCTTTTGCCACTTTCCGTGTCCTGATGCAAAGTTTGAAATTTTAATAAAATAACGTACTGACCTGTAGGTGTAGTACACTGTCACTATTATATCAGAAATCACAGTTAGTTTGGTCAAAACGAAGAGGCACATCAGAGTTTGCTGGTGAACTTGGCTCTAATGAATTGGTTATCCCTGGCAAACTCATGTGGTATTTGACCGTCTTGAGAGATGTGGGTACTTTTTCTTTCACCAGGGGGTAAATTGGTGGGACGAATACGATCAGAGCAAAGAAAAGTAATGCATTGCACATTACCGCCAGCACTATGTAATCAACGTGAATGTCCAAGCCTTGGTAGCTAAGAAAATAGTACAGAAGTAATCCATTTATCCAAGTTAGAGCAAAGAGATAAACAAACACTCGAAGATAGGACGTTTTGAATTTCTCGTTTGATATATCCCGAGTGAGAACTGAGATTAGCACTGTTGCAAGCAGAAGGGTTATTTTCAGAAGATAGACTGCAGAGAACCAGATGGCAGTGTGCTCACAGTAGCAGCCAAGTCGACTGGAGAAGTCTCCACTTACACTGATATCGTCACGGTATTCCTCCCCTCTAAAGGGATCTAATATGGTCCACACAGTTGCCAGCAATATGTCAAAGCTCACACATACACCAATGAACGAAAGCAACACTTGGTCTGATATTAGCGGCCCTGGATTAAGGTAGTGAGTGAAAATCCTGTAGAGTCTCCATGTGCGGGCACATATCGGAGCAAAGAACACTGAAAATGAAATGGAGAAAAACCAAGCCCAAATTGCTTGACAAAAGGCTCCGTAAGTGTCGGGCTCCAAAGTTACTGCTTTGTATACTATACTTAGCAGTGTCCCAACTGAGAAAAGGTAAGCTCCGCAGTAGGATATTTGGTTCAGTTTTGGACTTTGGGCTTTAACAGAAGGGTGCATATGGTTTACTGTCGTAAAGACATGTGCAATGACAGTTAGTGACGTAATCAGGAGTGTGATTATGGAAAAGAAGGCAGCAATTCCAGAATTCACCACTTCTAGGCCTCGTTCTTGAAACTCCCCCGGTACAAGGACAGGTGTAGAAACAACATTGAATTTAAAACTTTCTCCTTCAATATAACCAATCAGTTGATAACCATTTTTTGTAAGGCCTTGGCCAACTTCTATTGTTCTTTCAGTGTAGCCACTTGAAGCATTGAAATGTATGGGACCAGATATTCCTTGAAATTCATTGTTGTAGAGGATGTCCCTAATGATATCTGATTCCTCAGTCTGGCCTAGACCCAGTCCATATGCAGTCAAGTTGACAAAGGGTTCAACTTTGCTAAGAGTAAGAGCAATAGCCCATATGGCATCAAACACTAGTGTTGCATACACATTTGTTTGCACGACTGCGCTGGGGTCCCCTGGTGCTTCGTACATTGACTGGTTATTGTTGTACAGTTCCACCAGGTGATTGTACATGTCCCAATACTGTTGGTATGTGATGTGTGCTTTTGTAAGTTCTTCGTCATGTCTTTGTAGCACATAGTTCACAAAGATGCTGTTGTACAGTGCAGACTGCAAGTTTTCATAGGAGCAAACGTATTCCCTGGAGTCATATGCGAATAGCAGCGTGTCATTAAACTCAGAAACATTCCTATTCATCCATACCCACTGATATCTTGGGTACGTTATTTCGTTATACGAAGCAAGGCACATGATTTTATGTGCAAACTCTAAGCCAGTCAGAACAATGATTACACGTATATCAAGCGCCACTATATCAGACAGAGGAAAGTAGGTGTCGTACACAGCACTCGTATAGGCAATAGAGGCATTTGGAACATACTTCTGGAGATCTCTTTCCAGGGCCTGATACGTTGATAGGAAGAATACCCGTTCATCGTCGTACAATACAGCTATCCGCGTCCAGTTACCTTCACTCATTAGCGCTGCCGCAGCATGAACAAATGCGTACGAGGTTCCTAACAATCCAACTGCATAGCCGAACTGCGAGCGGTCTTCCAGTAACGGGGTTCCGGCAAGGTGCAGGTTTAGGAGGGCGATCTCCGGATGGCTGGTGTGGACAGACACTGCTAACGAGGAGGTGGAACAGCCAGGACCGATGATCCCTACCACGGCCCTGTGGCCCCTCTCGGCGATAATACGCCGCACAAGACTGATTCTTGCACGGTCAGCTATATCGCAACCTCCGTCATCGTTGATCAGCTCCAGCGCGTAGCCCTCAAGCACGTCGTCACGCTCGTTAATCATACTCACAGCCAATTGGGCAGCTGGTAGGATATTTCTACCTTGGTTCCAGGAGGGTTGCTCCGATGGTCCAGCCGTTGGATACGGGAAAATAGTTAGAAGGTACAGTTTCGTGTCTTCTGCAACGACTGTTCTTGTCTGCGCAAGTAGAAACCAGCAAAACAGCGAAACACAGAGGTACCGCCGATCCATGGTCCCAGAGAGTGCAAGCTACGCAAAGGTGATGTTATTACTGTCAGGAGTATTCATAGTGGGAGTCGTCCACAGCGCGGGATCGGAGGTGTGAGTGTAGTAGGACTATATACGCACGCGCAGCCGCGCCACGGGTGTTTCGTTGTGGACATTTACGCTAATTTGGAACATATACGGTACACGCGCACTACGCCCACTTCCGTAACCAAGATACGACGCGTCGAGAGGCTGGTGACGCGAGGTTTTTTTGACGGCGCGCGCGCGGCCGGTAAATGTCCACAATTTCTATTGCGCGAAACACCCGTGGCGCGCGCATGCGTTGAAAAGTGAACACACATCACGTGCGCGCCGACGCCGCGCGCGCGCCCAAAAACGCACTCCACCACTTATCTTTGCGGCTAGAATTTCTCACACAGTAAAGTCTCAGTGCTGCGGTTTTGCACTTCAGTGGTTATTACAAGTCCTCCACAGTGAAGCCAAGTACAGACATGACACTACCAATAAGGTGCAAACTTCCAGTCACCAACACCACCACTCTGGCAGCGCTATGAGTGTCCATGTGCTGGAGAGCATCAGCCACAGACACACACGCTCTAGTCTTTTCCTCTGATGCAGGCTCCTCCCAGACATCAGCCACCCCAGCATTCTTATCACTTAGAATATGCTTGCAGCACTCCTGGTTGGCATAGCAGTGAGAGAGCTGGCTGGATTGAGTGACCATGTGACTGGTGTGATCTGCAGAGAGATCAGTCATATTGACAGAGGTGGTGCCTGGCGGCCCTGACCTGGAGAATTCTGAGTGTCCTCCGAGTGAGAGATGTTTGGACAGAATACAAACCTACTAAACCCACATTCCTGTAGACGACATAACCTAACTTCAGCAACTAATGCAACAGAGGTCCATACCATGAGTGGTAGGAGTAAAGTCCTGGTGTCTCTCTTGCCAGTGGTGTTGAACAGCAATACTCTTAGAGTGTCCTGCCTGGAGGGAAATGGAGACTGTATATAGCAGCTCCTCAAAGGAAGGACTGACTTGTGGCTGGTGTCCATCTGGGAGAGGAACCACTCAGCACAGGCTGCCACACTCTCAGGAGTATGAGCTCCATCAAGGTAGTAAGTCACATTCCCTCTCTCGACAACCTGATTCCTGCCGGCCCATCTGCACAACCGCAGTCCTGCACACACCAGTCACTGCTGTACAGTAGGTCACATGACTTGTAACATACCGTCTGTAAACTCTTGAGTCAGTGGGAATGGAGCTGCTGTGGGGAGGGCAGAGTCAGCCCTGCCACTAGATACACATTCACTCTGTGTTGAGGAGTGGTTCTGGAGCCAGTAAGAGGAGAGCTGGAGAGCAAGGGATGCATTGGGCACCTGGTGCTTTCCCTTCAGCCCCAGTTCTGCAGGAACAGACTCAGTCAACCCACCCCCCAGTGAGACCAGGAGTCATACCAGGTAGAGGGCCAGGGTAGCTGGCCAGAGGAGGGACAAGAGAGAGGCTGCTGGCCCCCAGCTCCCTGGCCCTGCGACTGAGTCCAGTCAGAGCCTCTGGTCTCTGCTCCACAGTGAAGGCTGGTCGGTGTTGCTACAGGGGGGCGACCTTCACTACCACACAACATCTGCTGTGCCGTTTACCTTGCATATCCCTCCCTTGTGCCAAGCTATATCAAAGAGAGTGGGTCCCAGTATATCTGTGTGATCATAGCCCAGTGAGGTAATCCCACAGACCACTGGCTCCCTGCACAGTGTACAAATGATAGGTGAGGCAGGTGATAATCTAACTTGTCTCACTCAATGATGTTAGTAGAGTCATGAGTCCCACCAATGCCCACCTCCACCACTGCCACATCCACCTGAAGAGCAGCAACTACTGACTACTCTCTCCAGCTAAGCAGCATAGTTTGGTTTATAATTGCATTCTGGCACTGTGTCATTTTGGACATTACATTTCTACTCAGCTTATGTATACTGATTAAATCCCCATTAAGCCTGTTTACAAAGTTACAGGTGGCTATGCAAGCCTTGCTCAATGTCTGATAACTGAGTCACTGCTTAACTTTTTTCCTCAACTCAGTCCATTGCCTGTTGAGGGGAATGCAGAATCTTTCGTTGTGCGTAATTGAGTTAACAAGTATCTGATAGTACGTTACGCACCGCACAGCACCGTCTAGCGTAACATTTGTAAACAAGCCTTAACACTCCCCACCTTGTTACTGAGGAAGACAGAGAAAGCCATGACAGTGAGAAATCTGAAGTAGGACGGCATGGCGTCATTGTAGAGATGTCGGGTGTTGTTCAGCTTGCTGTAAACATCCCAAAAATAAGACACAAATTCTCCTCTGCTCAGTGGCTGGCCATTGAGGCGGATTCTCTCACGAACTTCAAGTAAATGAGGTGACCTGAGGTGTATTATTGGAGCCTTGAGTATAATAGATATACAGGAAGACAATGTATACACTAACACATAGAGTCCAGTCTTGAAGTCATGGCATCGGAGAATGCTCTCTGTCACGGCACATACCGAACCCTGGGAAGGGGAAGTGTGGATGCAGACCTCACTACAACCCCCACTTACCTTCCCCTTGGTCCCTGACACGTGCACTGCATTGAGCTGCGCGAGGTCGGCAGGCGCTATCCCAACACGCTCCAAGTACTGCTGCATCCTGTTGTACTCAGAGACCATACGGTCATCTCCCCGGCGACGTATTTGCTCCAAAACTGCCGCATTTGTTTGCAACCCATTCAGTGTGGAAATAGCAACCTGCGCACACAGCTTTACTGGGACAGGACCAGGTCAAGCACAGCACGGTGGTTACCCTGTAATTCTCATCGATTTCGCTAGGTTCTGGGTCCATACTCTCCAGACGGGTGGACAGAGGTCGCGGCCGAGGACGCTGAAGCCAAGTCTCAAGCCAGGTGCACGACGCACGTAACAAAGTGCGGCTCTGCATGACAACTCCAAATAACGCCCAACACAGTGGGCGGAGCTAGCTAGCTACACGTGTGTGACGACGAGCAGCGCAGCAGAGCTGTAGCCCAGCGAGTGAAATGCTGCGCCCTTTACTGACTCTGAGGCGGCTTGTCGATCCAAACAGGCTCGTCATCAGGAGCAGGAGACTTACCACCCTGCAAATATCACGCAGTGTCGGCGACTACTTGGGTGCTCGGGGTTCAGTCGCCTCCGATGGTAGGAGTCTGGAAGGCATTCTCGGGAACTGGAGGAAGAAGCAGAAGGAACGTAGAGACTCGTCACGTTCACACGACAGTCTAACCAGGTGTTTATATCATGTCCTGGAAGCTGCGAGACTCCAGAAACTCTCCTCCAGCCAGCTCACGCAAAACCGCCACTTTCAGAGGTTCTGGGATCACTTACGCAGTGAAGTACCCTCCATGTCAGCCAACTCAGCTGTGATGTGTCTTTACAACTGCGCACAGTATCGCTACGATGAAGACCTTGCTCTCTTTTCAACCCTCATCGACGTCTGTTCTAAGAAAGTTGAAGCTATTCCGACAAAGGCCTATGGCATCTTACTCTGGTCTCTCTGCAAGCTGGAGATATACCAGGAAAACAAGGCACTAGCCATGGATGTTGCACGGCTATTTCACTCTGAGCTTCTGTCTGACAGGCAGATAAAGCCTCAGTCGTTTGCCAATGTATTGTGGGCATTGGCCACCACCTCCACCTGGCCACACTACATAACGGATGGTGTTACGGACTATGTTTCAAGCAGGGCAGAAGAGTTTGACTTTCACTCTCTCTCGATTGTGCTGTGGTCACTGACCAGTGCTCAACTTCCTCTGTCTGATGCGTTCCTCGAGGCGGCTGGTGCCAGGGCTACTGTGTTCCTGCAGTCACAGGTCCATGCTATTAGCCTGATTCACTGCTGCTGGGCATTTGGATCAGCTGCCTATTTCCACCAGTCTTTCTTTTCTGCATTAACAGATAGACTTCTTTCTGAGCCTGTTGACTCTTCATTTTTCACACCGCGGCTGTTAGCCTCAGGGGCGTGGGCGTGTGCACGGACTGGCTACTATCACCCCGGGCTTCTCGACCGCATAGCGCATGTAGCTTTGGCCAATATCCATCGCTTTAATAGTCAGGATCTCGGCAATTTAGCCTATGCATATGGCCAGTTGAATCACTCCAGTGACAAGTTGCTCCTAACCATCAGTGATATAATATCATCAGAGAAGATGTCCAGCAATGAGCAAGCATGTGCAAATGTTGCCAGTGCTTGCTTGATCCACAAGCTGTATCCTGAGGCTTTGCTCAGGAGACTAATGTCCAGTGAGAGAGTTTCAGGTATATGCAAAACCACAATATGTATATAATTTGTCTTTTGTTAACCACTATGTTTCTTCCATGTCAGCACTTATCAGGAATGGAGCAGGGAAGCACTTACACCTCTGTGTTCAGACGCATTTTCTTGTGAAGTCTGAGTGCCCTGAATTGCAGGGCTGTGTCTTACAGCCGCCACATGACGAGATCATCCCGGCACTGGTGGTGGCTGAATCTATGGTCAACTGTCCGCGAGTGTACTCTGTGTTTCACCAGAATCTGTGTAAGGCACTGACACAAATAACGGGAAGTACACAGAGATTCACAAGAGAAGCACTGACAACCTTTGCCAGCTTCATTGATGCAGAAGTAGTACTGGACTGCCAGGGTTCACCACTGCCCATACCAACCCAGTGGGGAGGATGGAGACAGCCTAGAATGCTACTTGGTGCTGCCTACCCAGAGGAGGATAACCCCATCATTTGGGAGGCAATTGACCAATTTAGCTCCAGCAGCAAGACTGGTCTTTTGGATGATGAAGTTCTCCAGGAAGTGTGTGTTGCAAGTGACTGGGCTGCTAGACTAGGGACCACCAGTGCACCTGTGGCCAGAAGAGTGGCCTTTGAAGCTGATGGGCCAAGACACTATGCAACCAATTGCAGACATAAGCTAGGGAACACTGCAATAAAGCACAGACTTCTAAGAGCTACAGGATGGGATGTAATAGCAGTAAGTCATCTGGTAGAACTGATATTGTATTAATTATGACTCTTATTTTGCAGATTGCACATTTTGAATGGGAGCATCTGGAAAAGGATCAAGATCACATCAACTACCTCGTGGGAAAACTATACAGAAATAGCAGTACTATAATATAGTTTGTAGACTATTTTATCCTGCTATATACTGATTGCCAACATCTTGAATTCAATACCATCATCACAGAACGTGAATAAGCAATGCAGGCGACACAAGGCACATCTATGGACAACGCACTCTGTGCACCTGCTGCATGCCTCTGATTAGATCACATAATTTTGCCTTGGTGGGTATTGCACCTACAGATTATATATAATGGTGCAGGGTGATTATCTCCTTCAGGAAACGTTCTGTGGTTATATTATACCTAGCTATTGCTTGTTAAGGAGTTGTCGTTTCCTCGCAGCTCAGCTTGTGCAGCATTTGCGGAGCACGAATTCCTCTCTATTCTGATGTGCTGGTGATTGCTGGGAGTGAGCATTGTAAGGGGATGAGACTGCTGGGGGAGCATTAGCTACAGGTCGAGAAGGAGGGAACTACTCTTCCGTCTCAACCCGTGCACTTTAGAACTTGTCACATTGTGTCCACATATTGAACACGATGTCAGAAACTACAGATATCATAATGTTGCAGCTTAGTGATTGCGCATGCGCAAGAGCACCACCATATAATTGTTCGCTCGGGCCGGGCCGGCCATCGCCGCCAGCGGCGGACACGTTGCGCAGTGTTCAGAAATAGCAAGGATGCTAAAAAGTATTATGACGCGGACTCCCTCATGCAAATATGCTTTGCACTGGACAGGATGTTTGCACTGAGAGCTAGCTATATAGAGACGGGGATGTTGGATCGTACGCATGCGCAACAACTAACGCGCGCCGGTCTTGGCGGGGAATTCGTTTGACAAATTTCGCGGGAAAGAGTAGGAGCTGAGCGAATGGACGTTGCGGTGAGGGTCCGCCCTCTTATAGACAGGTAATCTTACTTTGGGAGACACCATCTGAAGTATTGTTACTCTCCCCAGGGAGGTTAGAGGGAAGAAATGGTATGTTAGAGGGGACACCATCTTCCCAACCACTTCTGCTGGCCCTGGCTTCACGTTTGGTTAGCATACCATTGTTTCTGAGTAATTCTTACAATGAACTCTGATGCACTGGTAGACCATGTGTTTGACGAGAAGTCAATTTCAAAAGACGTGTATCACAACGTGATAAGAAATGTTGTGATGTCTACCATGGAGGGAATAAATGGTAAGACTTTCCCTCCAGTTTCTGTGATGAAGTCATTGGTGAAGTGCTGGGTTCTGACTGTCCTTCCTCCTCCTCTCTGTTCTTAGGAACTGTGTTTGCCTACGGGCAAACATCCAGTGGGAAGACCCACACCATGACAGGGAGTGGACCTGAACCAGGGGTCATTCCTCTGGCCATGCAAGACATATTCAAATACATTGGTGATGTAAGCACCACAAACATTGCAGAACTTGGCACTCTCTTTATTTTCTCTCTTCTCTCCTTTCTCTCTCCTTCTCTGGTGTGAAGCACAAGGAGTTGGAGTTCCATGTCACCGTCTCTTACCTAGAGATTTACATGGAGGTAGGTATATAACTCTGTCCTGTCACCCAATATCTTACACATCACATATTATGCTGACAGAGGATCAGTGACCTTCTTGGTCCTTCAGGAAGAGACATAAAAATAAGAGAGGATAAAGACGTAAGAGTGCCTTATAATACACATGGTAATGGTGATATAGAGTACATAACTACATACTTATTCTTAAGCTTGGAGTCTCAAAACCACTTACTATGCACGGAATAATTAACTGGGCAGGCCTTTATAAAAAGCTATGTTTTTGGAGCTGGTATACACATATGCACATGGAAATATTTATGTCAATGTAAGGTCCATTTCAGTTCACCAGCTGAGTTATGTGCATGATTGTTTGTCAAAGCCACCGCCCACAGGAGATTAATCATTTCTTGGCAACAACCCTATAGTATGGAACATACCTACTGCGAAGGGATGTGGGGCCTCTTCCTACATTCTACATAGCTTCATGTCACTCTTTGTTATTAGCTACTTCTGCTCCTACAGAACACTGTGAGGGTACTGGGCCTGGAATGCCAGAGAGTTTCCGATGTTCACGAAGTCACAAGAATCATCTGTGCATGCAACAGTGAGTTGATCCTCTCTCTCTCTCTGTCACATTCTCTCCCACCCTTTCTTGGGTTCTCTCTCTGCCTCCCCCTATTCCAATATCCCTCTCTTCAGAGCGACGTACTACTGCAGAGACTGACATCAACAAACGCAGCAGTCGCTCACATGCTGTGCTCTGTCTCAACATTGAGACTAGAACAAATGACACTGCAAAAGTTGCATCACTGGTATGTTTAATTAACCCCCTTTCCAATGCCAACAACCAACTGGGGAGGGAGTTAATATGCATGGTCGTTATACAAGTATATAGCTAATAATGGGGAATATAGGGATGCCATAAAAAGCAAGGAGACCTAGTGAACATGATGCAGTATATAGTACAATGGATGGTAGCTATATACATTATCTCAAACCGACATTGCTCACTAATGTACATTATCCTCCACACAAGCCCTTTACAAAATTTGTTCGCTTTCGTAACCTTTACCATTATTACATATACGTTAGAGATAATATTTTCTAGGTCATCCCTGTCTTGTCTCCTTGCTTTTGCTATAATTATTCACCATTGAATTTCATTAACTCGGAGAAGTTTTATTTCGTTTTTACTGCATGCACATGTGAATGGTGTGCAATTAATTTTTGGGGCATAATGCCTATATAAAAGGTAACATTATCACTTTGCGCATTTAAGTGGCGCGTGGCGCCCATAGTGTTAAGGGCCTAGCTATGTGTTATTGCCTCAGACTGTTTGTCGTTCAGATGTTTCTTTCTCCATATTTAGTGCATATACCAAGTTTTATTGTTAGAGGACCCAGCATGAGCAAGTTATGTATAGGCAAAACTCCACATACAAGGTCTTATTGCCTGAGGCTGTTTGATTGTTTGATGAACATTAATGATGGTACATCAGTGTACCAATAATTTTCATTGTTAGAGGACCCACAATAAGCAAGTTGAAGGCACAAACATTGTTTAGAGGACTCTTTCCCACTGTCATCAGAACCTAGTGGACCTAGCAGGCTCTGAGAGCCTGGATAAGACTGGGACAGTGGAGAAGGTGAGGATGGAGGAGGCCAAATACAATAACAAAAGCCTCCTCACCCTCACCCAAGTGATTGCCAGGCTCTCCAGGGGCAAGCCCAGGTAACATTTCTGCTCTTCTGCTGTCTCCATTCCAATCTCCCCCTTCTCTGCCTCAGTCTCCACATCCCATACCGGGACTCAAAGCTCACCCACATTCTAAAGAAATCCTTGGGAGGAAACGCAAAGACAGCTATTATCTGCACCATTACACCTGCAGAACACAATGAAACAGAACTAACCCTTAAAGTATGTGGCCACTAGCTACACTGGTATACAGTGGAATCTCGTTATAATGAATTGCTGGGAACACAGTAAGGGGAAGTGTGGTGAAAATGAACAGTGTTCTATAGGGCTATATAGGCTCTGAGGGTGTGTTTGGAGTTTCGTACTAAAGTGTTCTTTATAATCAGACTCCACTGTAACTAGTGTTGATACAGTAGTAGTAAAATGACGTAGAAATAATTCTGATAGCCTTCAAATCTCAGTGGAATCATGTAGCACCAAGTAGTTGGTTCAACATGTATAATTGTTGTTTCCCTCCTCCCCCTCCCCCCCCTCCCTCCCCCCCCACCCCCCCCTCCCCCCCCCCCTCCCTGCAGTTTGCACTATCAGTGAAGAAGGTAAAGAACAGGCCAGTAGTGAATCACCTCTTTGACAACAGTGAAGAAAGACTTAGGAAGAAGGTGAAAGATCTAGAGGAAAAACTAAGACATGTAAGTCAGCATGAAACTAGATAATTATGTGTATCTACAATTCCTTTTTCTTTCATCCTAATTATGCCATTCTTCTATTGTCTATGAAAATTGTCTATAATGAGGAAGTCATATAATTCCAAAAATATTAATCCTGTGCCTTTGATGTTGGTAAAATAAATAGTGCATGATGCATGAATGCATTGTTGATCAGCACCAACACACGCAGTATATAAAGTATGCATAACTGCAGCCTGCTCAACTAAGAATCTTCAGTAAAGTGTGCATTCTCAAGGCTGGGCACCCAGGGTCCTACCTCTTTTCTTTCTGTTTATGTTATTGTCTGTGTTTTGTGTGCTTGGGTGGGGGAGGTTCTTTCTTTTCCTCTGAGCTAGTATGCTATAAACATGTTTTTCCATGCTATTTTCCGCCCTGGTGATATAGCAATGCTCTTTAGCTACCATGGAATTGATACATAGAAACACTAGTACACTGTTCATGGAAACAAGAATCATGTAGAAGTGTGATGCTGTCAACAAGTTTAGGTAGGCAATCTATTCTGACTTACCCTATTGTGTTATGCCAGCATAATGCACCACTCTACAAGGCCTTAGGGGGATCTCTATGTATAGGTTTGATGGTGGCAGGTGTGCTCTATGAGCGCGCAGCGCTAATAGAGCATACTTGCCATCATCAAACCTACTTGGACGTTTTCCCAGCACAATGCCTGAATTCCCTATAAGGAAAGCCAAGTGGGTGTTGATTAGGAGCCCTCTGCTGTTGGTGGTAGTACAGCTAAGTGGGTGTTGCTACAAGCCCACAATGGGTCTTTGCTGGTAACGTGTACCAAATGAGTCTCGTACCAAATAGTCAGATAGGATTTCTGATATAATAACTATCACCACAGATATTATACTAGGTTGGATAAATGTAATGGACATTGACCAAATCTACCCACCCCACCGCCCTTTACCACCCCAGACTGAGAGAGAGATGGAGAGGAAGGAGAGGCAGATGGAGAGGAAGCTGGAGGAGAAAGGGAGAGAGATGGAGGAGAGGGAGAGAGAGATGGTGGAGAAGGAGAGAGAGATGGTGGAGAAGGAGAGGGAGATGGTGGAGAAGGAGAGGGAGATGGTGGAGAAAGGGAGAGAGATGGCGGAGAAGGAGAGGAAGATGGAGGAGAAGGAGAGGGAGATGGAGAAGGAGAGGGAGATGAAGGAGAGGGAGAGGGAGATGGTGGAGAAAGGGAGAGAGATGGCGGAGAAGGAGAGGAAGATGGAGGAGAAGGGAGAGAGAGAGGCGGAGAAGGAGAGGGAGATGAAGGAGAGGGAGAGGGAGATGGTGGAGGAAAGGGAGAGAGATGGTGGAGAAGGAGAGAGAGATGGTGGAGAAGGAGAGGGAGATGGTGGAGAGGGAGAGGGAGATGGAGAAGGGGAGGGAGGTGAAGGAGAGGGAGAGGGAGATGGAGAAGAAGGAGATGGTGGAGAGGGAAAGAGAGATGGCGGAGAAGGAGAGGAAGATGGAGGAGAAGGAGAGGGAGAGGGAGAGGGAGATGAAGGAGAGGGAGATGGTGGAGAAGGAGAGGGAGATAGTGGAGAAGGAGAAGAAGATGAAGGAGAGAGACATCGAAGAGAAGGAGAGAGAGAAGGGAAGGAAGACAAGGGAGACGGAGGTAAACATTGATAGGACAGCTGGTGACATGGTGAGTGGAAATAGGAGTTTAACGATGGTCAAAAATTGTGTTTTACCCCCACACGAATTCAAACAGAGGGAGTGGGAATGGTCGGAAGAGCTTTTCACAGCTGAAATGAGGGTAAGTGTGAGCTTTTGCTCCTCCAATAATCCTATCCCACTCTCTTCCTCTCCTCCCTCCCTATTTCAAGGCTGAAGGGGCAGAGAAGAAACTGAGGGCACAAGAACGTCTCTTAACACACCTTGAAAAATCAGAGTATGGCAATATGAACCTTAAAAAAATTGAGAACTAGATAATCCTTTTTCTATAGGAAAAACTACAGGGAAGAAAGAGACATTTTTAGATCCAAATACCTTGTATTGAAAGAAAGGAGCAGGGGCATTGTGCCACCTCTACGTGGTATATACATGTCACCATTGCTTCACCTGATGTCATGTTTCTCATTTACAGAGTCTCTTGACGGCCTTGCAGGTGTCCCCACACCCCCCATTTACCCATCTTCCTCCTCCTCCTCCTCCAAACACCACACCTCAACTAAGGGACGTCCTTGTCCTCTAGCACCACGGACAATATTTGCCCAAAACCAAGCACAATAACAATATGAACATCAATTTTTCAATTAATTTATTCATTGGAAGTACAGTGTGTAAGAAGTGGCCATTTACACACAGAAGTAGCCAACAAGGAGGGGCAGAACTAGATGTCTATGGTGCTGTGCAGGGAATAGTGCACAGGACGTGTGGCTTTCAATCTAGCCAGGCCTAAGGAGAAAAAGTAAATTAAAAAACCCTGCGAATTTAAAAAGAGGCATATAGGGCAAAAGAAAGGGAGACAAGATAGGGATGGGATACATGAAGCATGGTTAATGAACAGATTTGAGCACACTGACAGCACCAACCCCATCACACAATCCCTATATTATTGCCTGGTGTGCTACTCTTATATATAGGGAATGTGACATTATATTATAAGGGCTAAAGGTTACTAAAAAGCAAGCATTCTTTCACTGTGTCCTTGTTGTTTTTAGTCACATTTCTACTTTTATACTGCCACAGTCCCTTTAATTAAACTCCATTTGGACTCTATAACAGTGTTGGTTACTCAGTAGCATGACTTTTTTGTATTATAAGTTCTGAGAATTGTAATGGTGAATGTTTAATACTTCACCTAGGCAACAATATAGGGATTGTGTGATGAGGTTGGGGGTGTCAGTGTGCTCAAATCTGTTGATTAACCATGCTTCATGTATCCCATCCCTATCTTGTCTCCCTTTCTTTTTATACCATCCCTATAGGCCTCTTTCTAAATTCGCAGGATTTTAAATGTACTTCAATCAACACTCATTTTTATATACTACTACGTATATCTCTGTTGTTCAAACAAAGTGGTTGTCATGGAAATGATATTACATGTATGCGTCCCAAGTTTCATCTCCATGCGTAAGTGCTCCGTCAGGAAGTTTGAGGAGTGAAGAAATAGTTTGAAAGAAAATTGCCTGAGGCTTTTTCAAACGATATGCAATCGTCATGGAAACATGTGATTGTCATGGAAACAATATAATAGGCATACACACCAAGCTTCATCTCTATGTGTGCTACCATTGGAAAGTTTGAGAAGTGAAGAAGAAAAGTGCCTGAGGCTATTTTATTTACAATCATGTGTTGTTGTGATTTTGATGTGGGCTATTGAATATACATTATGTATACAAACTTTCGTTCACATAGCTCTTACCAATTGTGAGTTACACTGACATGTGTATGCCCATTGCCAATTAAGTATTGCCTTGGGCAATTTTGATTGTTTACACATTTGGTTATGGATATGTACATTTCCACAAAATTTCATGGCTTTATCTTTTTCGGTTTTTGAGTTATGCTGGTAGTACCCGGTTGTATAATTATAGCTACTACCTTCCTCAGTCAATGATAGCACAAGTACAGAACTGACCTCTTAAGTAGTGACTGTATGTCCAACTGAGGGAAGAGGAAACAAGGTGAGAAGATAAAGACAACAGAATAGCCGTGGAACAACATAGACTAGACATGACTGTAGGCTGGGACAACACAGACAAGACGTGAGCCAGAGCTGAAGAGACTATATTTGCCACAGGTGAGGATAAACTGTCAGTAGCGGCATGCAGGTGGGCTAAGTGCGTAGCCACTGTCCAGGTTGCTTGTATTCGTCCGTTCTCTGATATGTATGGACTCCAGTACCTTTCTTCTGATTAGGTGCTCCTCATATGCCACCACCTTAGCAGCGTCCCAGTCCACATTGTGCTGGTTGGTACATGCATGCATCGCTATCCCATTCCTGAGTCCCTGGTCCTGACAGCGTAGCAGTGTTCCTTCAGTCTGATCTCCAGGGATCGGCCCGTCTCACCCACATAGACAGAGTCACAGTCTGCACAGGGGACCTCATAGATCACTCCTTTTCTTTGTCCAGCTGGTCTGGTTGACTTTAGTTTCATCAGCATTTGCTTTTGTGACTTTAAAGTGGCCCTGACCCCCAATGGGTGGCACAACCGTTCAATCTTCTCACTCACACCCTTGACGGTATGGCAGAAAAATGTCATAAGATTATATAGAATACGTGGAATATTCTGGAACAAATGGCATGCCATAGCTTGTAGCTATCTTTCTCTAGTTCCTCGTTTTTCTCCACTGGTTGATGTTGTCTCGTCATTGGTTTGAGGGTCTCTCGTCTATCCATTCATGGCAAACTCTCTGTGCAAGTGTTTCAGTTCAGGGGTCAGCTGTTCTTGGCGTTGAATCGCATACATGGTAGGCCCTGTCCCTGAGACACTGGATCATGCCTCTCAGAACTCTCGAATGGTGGTGGGAATTGAAATTGATGTATCGGTCAGTGTGGGTTGGCTTCCGATATAGACGGTTTCTCTCCCTCCTTACTAGTACATCCAGGAAAGGCAGTTAGTTTTCCCTTTCAATGGTGAATTGGATTGTTCGTTCAGATGTCGGTGGAACCTCTCTAGTGCAGTACTGCCGTGTGGCCAGATGACAAAAGTGTCGTCCACATATCTGATCCATGTGCTCAGTTTCATGGTGATGGTGCTCAGCCCTACTGACAGTTTCACCTTGTTCCCCTGTGGCAAATCTAGTCTCTTCAGCTCTGGCTCACGTCTTGTCTGTGTTGTCCCAGCCTACATGTCTAGTTTATGTTGTTCCACGGCTATTCTGTTGTCTTTATCTTCTCACCTTGTTTCCTCTTCCCTCAGTTGGACATACAGTCACTACTTAAGAGGTCAGTTCTGTACTTGTGCTCATTGACTGAGGAAGGTCTACGATTAGAAGAGAAAAGAGTACTACCAATCACTGCGAGCTGAGCACCAAGAGCACTGGGACGAAACACAGGCTATAGTACCCGAAGGTGAGATTCTTACAGAACCAAACTACACCAACAGTGGAGAGCGTAGCTAAGTCACTTGGATATGGGAGGAAAAATGGTGTATAAGTGGGAGTTAGCTAACAAGCTGCTGCCTTGTTCACTGCCCAACTCTCTGTGTATGTAACAGTTGTTTGCCAGTGCATCCTGGGTGCAGCTGACTTTGTTTGCCTTGGCTTTGCATTGACCTCGTTGTTGAAAGGCACGAGTCGATCCATCAAGTCAAATTCCAAGTACATTGTAGCTATCTAGTACCAGACGAGGATAATTGGGTGGTTAAGTTTGACTTTAGAGGGATTTTGAACGAGGGATGTAACAAGACTGAGTTCTGCATGAGGCATACTGTGCATGCTCACAGCACTTGCTGTGGCCCATGCAGAATCTCTCAAGCTTGGCTTGTGATGTTATGTAACATTATGTAAGGTGTCCATGAAAACTGTGTATATACAAATATGGAAAGTAGTCAAGAGCATAATAAGACAATGCAGCAGTACATACAACAGATTATAATTCACTTTACTGTTAGATGGCTTCGTACACTGCTTTTTCATTCAAGTGGAACCTCACTATTCCAACCATGTTTTGGCCCTTCAAAAGTTTAGTGAGGCTTCTGGAGTTAGTTTTAATTGTCAGTGCCAAAGGCTGTAGCAAGATGACTGCATTGAGGTCTATTCTATGAGTTCTTTCAGAAGTCGCTATAATAGGACACAGTTCTTCAATAATATTTGGCACTACTATTAATGAACTAAACTTTTTTCACTATAGAGTTGAGAGACAAGAGAGATGGCTAAACGGGTATGTTGTCACTTCCAAACAGCTCTATAATTAACATTTCTCTCTAAACCTGCAGCATCCTCGTACCTCCACCCCTTGCACGTTGAAACACTTGGAGTTGTCGACAATTGTGGTGAGCTGTAGCTGTATGCAATGAACATTGCGTCTCATAAAAGCCTCTACTCTCTACAGTGGTTACTATATATAGCTCCAAGGTAGTGATGTAATGTGGTTACTATAGAGACATAACAAGGGTAGCTAGTCAGCTAGATAGAGTTCACTTCAGTATAAGCAAGTCAGCAAAAGCAACCAGGTATATGCTGTAGAGTCAATAAAACTAGGCTGAAGAATATCTGCATCTGTAAGTAAGGTTTCCCTGTTTGGAAGAAAATTAGATACATCTGATGTGTAACAGTTACTGTATACTGCTGGACTCCAAAAGGTAGAGTGGCCTCGCCCCATTTGGGAGTGTATTACATGTCGGGAGTATAAAGAGGCCGAAACATGTAATGCATGATGAACAATGGGGAACTCCCCTGATGACCAGTGCAGTCACATAGATTATAAGACTCTGATTCAGGAGACTACCAATATCAAAACCTGTACATTTGAATGCGTGTTTCTCAATGCCCCACGCAAATATGGACAAAGTGCCGCCTAACTCCTGAGTTTTTTAACTCCCGTTAAAAATCTCTTTCCATAGGAGCAGCAACCGCTCCCCAAACAATGCCCTACTCCGGACAATATGACAGCACTCTCTCCCGATACTGTTTGGCGTCGGGCAAGAATGCCAACACCTGAAACATCGTAAGCGTATTATGAAAGGTGATATTTCTCTTAGCTAGGTGTGTTGTGGCAGTAGTGTCAATAATGAGTGAAAGAGTGGGGGCCAATCAGATGCAAACTGCACTGTGCCTTTCAAAATAAGGTGATTCTGTATTATTATGTTAATTTATTTATCAATCCCCGTGTGACGTGTAAACGTATGGCTCAACTGCACCGCTAGAGCAATGCAGCAGCCTGACTGGGATCAGAGTCGAACCTGGGAAGTTAGAGGGATTATGTATGGGCCTGCCCAAGAGTCATGACACTGTCTGTACTTCGAACAAACAGATGACAAAAACATTAACAGGGGCATATACAATTTCCAGGAGGCGTCTGGCTCCTACAGGAGGAGAAAGAAACCCAGTACCTCCCTCCTCCCCGGCCACTGAATCTCCCCCCTCAGAGTCTTCCACCTCCCTGACTCCTTCCTCAGCTACATTCAAAGGTACCCACCCCTTCACTCTTTGAATCCGTACCTGCATAAACTTTCTGTAGTGTTGAGACAGTCCTCAATTAGAATGTTACTGCTTTCTTTGAAACAGAACTCACCCTCCAGCTGGAGAGGAAGGAGAGGGAGTGGGAGGAGTACCACAGGAAAATTAGGTGAGACTTTATTAAGTAGTTGGTGGATAACTTCAGTTCGGGATTTAATACTGTGACCTCTTGTTCAGACAAGTAGAAGAAGAGATCAAATACTTAAGGCAGCAGCTACACCAAACAAAAGTGAGCAACTAACAATTATTGGTGTACTGACTTTGGACTATCATGTTTGTACTGAGAGAAACCGTTGGATGGTACACTTCTTATCCTCTCCCTCAGCTGCCCGACCACCCAAGTCCTCCCTCCCCTCCCTCTCCTTCTCTCTGCAAGGCAGCTCCCTCCTCAACTCCTCCTCAACTCCTGCCTCACCACCCCAGCTCTCCCTGTCCATCTTCTCCCCCTCACTCTCCCTCCCTCACAGAAGCAGCAACCCCAGGAGCCAGCGGGGCAGCTCTGCAGGATGAAATGTAAGAAACAGACGTTCTGGTGTTATCTCTCGTGTTACTGGTGTATGTTTTCTCACCTACAGGTCAATTATATGCAACCAATTTATTATGGAGGTTATCCAAAAATTTGAAAACAAATCTGCAAATGAGGTTAGCTAATTAGCACTATTGCTCCTAGAATGTGCACAATATTAAACATTGTTATATTATTATATAGGTCTTACAGGTATTGACACTGGGAACAACAAATGGAGAAGAGGTGCTATCGGTATCAAAAAGTACCATCGACCCACAACACGCGATAATAAAATACAGTACTGACTGTAAAAGACGTTACTTTGCAAAAAAGGGGGATGCCTCAACGACTAGAAATAGTCGACATTGGGCATACATTTTTAGGTCGGCAATTTTTAGAGAAGAGCACGTTGCAACTCTGCGAAAAATGTAAGTTACGTTAGAAGAGCTCTGTTAATCATTACTACCTACGTCAATTATTTTGCAGGTGCAGCCCTTCTCCTCCAAGAAATTATACATTGCAGTAGACGATCTTTCCATAATATAGACCATGTATAATTATAATATAACTTTTGATTATCTCCAAGTTGACAGTGAAAAAATGCACGGCACAGTAAATGTCACCATATACAGAGACAGTGTGAGCGTTCAGTGCAGCAACCAAGACCTTTGGAGTCTTCATCCGCTGTTGGAACTCCACAGCTGGAATAAGGGAGTCCATCGATAAAATGCCTGTCTGGTTTGGACACCATATCCACAAACCTGGTTAACTCCCAGATGGACCCCATATACCAGAACCAGCTGCGGAATTGTTTTGTATTTGGCAGCGTTTCAGATACCCTATTCAGGTTCTGACAGAAGTCAACACAATTTCTGTAGTTATTCTTCAGTTCGTCAAGCATAATCATATCAATAATTACAGGCATAATTACTAGAAATAAAAAATCCTGCGAATTTAATAAAAGAGGCGTAAAGGGATGGTACAAAAAGAAAGGGAGACAAGATAGGGATGGGATACATGAAGCATGGTTAGTGAACAGATTTGAGCACGCTGACACCCCCAACCCCATCACACAATCCCTATAATTATTATTGCCTGGTGTGCTATATACTCTTATAAGGGCTAAAGGTTACTAAAAAGCAATCATTCTTTCAACGTGCACCTGTTGTTTTTAGTCACATTTCTACTTCCACAGCCCCTTTAATTAAACTCCATTTGCACTCTATAACAGTGTTGGTTACTCAGTAGCATGACTTTTTTGTATTGTAAGTTCTGAGAATTGTAATGGTGAATGTTTAATACTTCACCTAGGCAGCAATATAGGGATTGTGTGACGAGGTTGGGGGTGTCAGTGTGCTCAAATCTGTTTATTAACCATTATTCATGTATCCCATCCATATCTCGTCTCCCTTTCTTTTTATACCATCCCTATATGTGAGCGCATCAAGTAACAATAGGGGCTATGACACACAGGGACAAGTTTGAGTTTGTGAATGAATTATCATGTTATGTAGTATATATATACAACGAATAGAGAATTTGCCTGCGCGATATAACGACGATTAGCCACACCAGAACCACGCGAGAGCATTACGCGCAACGCGCATTGCGCTCTACGTAAGGGATTTCCCCTCCGCCCGTGTGCGTACACAGGGAAACATGTGGCGAACACCCTATTTTTACTTGATGCGTTCACATATGCCTTCTCGCAGGATATATAATTTACTTGTCTTCACTCATTTTTATAAGATACTACGTACTCGTACGGCTTTTCAAACAATATGCGGTCGTCACGGAAATGATACAATAGGCATACATAACCAAGTTTCATCTCTATGCTTGCTACCATTGGAAAGTTTGAGGAGTGAAGAAGTAATTTTAAGAAAGTGCCCGAGGCTCTTTTTCGTTATTTTCAAACATGTATAACATTATACTGTTGTGATTTTCAATGTTGGTGATTGAATACATTATGTATACAAAGTTTCGTTTACATAGCTCTTACCATTTGTGAGTTATACTGACACATGTGATCCCATTATATTGTATTGCCTGTGGCTATTTGTTGTTGTTTACAATTAACAATGTTGTTTACAAACAAATAAGTACGACCAGTTTCTTTGGGTGACGGATATCTACAAAATTTCATTACTATAATATGTTGTTTCATTTTTGAGTTATAGATGTTGAACCTGAAGAAGGTGATGATGAATGAAACTCCCTATCATAGCCCCATACATCTATGATGCTACATACCATAACTAAGTACTACCGTACTAATTAGTGATCCCTACTCTTACATGTCACACCGTGAGGAACAGCAGCGCAATCTAAATATCATGGCCAGCAGCAATAAGAAGTCATCTCTGGCTCCGTTGCCTGGGAACGAGGCACGAGCGCCCCAGTTGCCTGCGCGCGCACGCAGATGACCCGGGTGCAAAGGTTATGTTGAAGTCTGCTCATACTAGACACTGATAGTTCGAAATATATTGAATCCTGAGAGAGCAGTAGTAATTAGCACCCCAGGAAGCTGAGGATGCCAGTGGAGTTCTTTTAGCTCCCTCTGTCCCTGGTGGATGAACAGGAGCTGAGGAGGAACCCCCTCCACCTCATCATTTCCTCCGTCCCTCTCCACTGCCAAGTCCCACTGCACCACCTGCAGTATACCAATACACACACTGCCTGAACCACATCTTGACCCTGTTTTCACACATCACCTGGTGGTCCGCTCCTGACGAAGCAAACACAGTGGAGTCATGCCACGCCCACTCCACACTGGTCACAGGACCAGAGTGGTACTGGAACTCTGCAGAAGCTTCTCCCCTGACATGACATTACATCACCATTGCTGCACATATAGAGCCATACATACTTGCCAAACTGGCGCAGGTCCCATATCTTTAGAGAGCCATCATCAGCTCCAGACACCAGCAGAGGTTCTGAATGGTTCCATGAGATAACGTTGACATCAGTGTTGTGAGCATTTGTGGTGAGCATGCACGCCTTTTCAGCCTTGGCCCGGCAGTCCCAAATACGCACCGTCTGGTCCACTGAGCATGTGGCCAGCACCTACAACAGAAGAGTAGCAAATGTTTGTGGACGGAAATGGCCACTCACACTAGGCTCATTGGGACTCCACTGAATATCCTCCACTGAATTTGTATGTCCAACTAGCGGGTTAGGTCCAACCTGCCACACCCCTTCTTCTTTGGGCTCCCAAATGTAGATGTTCTTAGTGCAGTCTCCAGTAGCAAGTCTGCCAGGGAAGGTGGGAGACCAGGCCAGCCCGTAGCCCTCTGTCTGTGTGTGTGTAGAGATACAAAACACAGCAACAACTAAGTACTTGCCTGGTGCCCAGAGAAGGCATAGAGAGGGTCCTCTTGGTGTCCTCTCAGGCAGGCAGCAGATGCCTCAGCACCACCCACACTAGGGCTGTCCAGTAGTATCACATGACGAGAAGTGTCCCACACACTCACAGTCCCTTGCTCAGACCATGTTGCCACTAAATTTCTTTGAACACCTTCAGCTACCTGGACAGAGGTGGAGTCACAGTCTCAGTAGAGGTATGAGCAATGCATCACATTATTGGGGAGCGAACATTATTTAGATTTACAGAAAGTATTATGGTATAATAGAGACAGTGCCATCGAATAGGCTCACCAATCTGTGCAAATGGAATAAAGGCGTTAGTAGATGCAAGTTTGTGAAGTCAGCATTTGCAACTTCGCCAAATTATGGGACACGTCAAAGGTTCAATCTCAGGTAAAATGGCAAAGTATTCTGTTGCTGGCTGTTCATTTCCTATAATTATCACTAATATATACTGTAGTACTTAGTATACGAGTAAATTAAAAATCCTGCGAATTTAAAGAAAGAGGCATAGAGGGATGGTATATATAAAAAGGGAGACAAGATAGGGATGGGATATATGGAGCATGGTTAATGAACAGATTTGAGCACACTGACACCCCAAACCCCATATATTATTGCCTAGGTGAAGTACTAAACATTCACCATGTCAGCATGGGTATATACAGTCTTACAGACTTCTTTATAATATTATTATGCATCAAGGTGTCTTGGACTGTCAAATTTTGCCATTGACTATAACCCTTCCTATATTTTGATATGTTTGATGTATAGAACTGCCTGTTGTCTTTAGGTAGCTGGTGTTTCGTTTCCCCTCGTGTTAACCAGAATGTTTCACACATTCAGTTAGGATCTCTTGTTCATAGGCAGTAGTACGTACCTCTCTATTCAGTAGATATTTACGTATATATATCCAGAACAGCAGTGTTCTAAAGTGTTCAGCAATGAGTTTTTCAGGTGTCCAACACCAATTATTTCATTCAGCACCATGTTGTATCATGGGCCTAATTCCTTGACCCCAGAACTATTCCACTGGCTCTAATAAAATTTCAGTTGGTATGAATAATTTTTGTAAATTCTGGCTTACGAATTTTCACCGCTGTACATGAGGTAATTTTCTGTACTTTGTTTTCTCTTGCAGGCATGGTTGGAAGCCCCTCTGCTCAAGCTGTAGCTGTTGTGAATGATGGATTCAGCTACATAGACACTGGATATCCATGTAAGTTAATGCTGTTGGAGTATTTGAGAGTGCACTTGCTTTTACTCGCCTTGGTATATGTTACGGGTGCGCACATGATGAGATGCTATTGACAAATAGCCTAATGGTATGGGGGGGTGATTAATGGCAAAAAAATGAAAAGCACTGAAGTGCAAACCCTTGGCACATTGTGACGCGCACGCGTAAGTAAACGCATGTGCGGTACCACTAATTGATGGGCTGGGTTTAGTTTTAGCTGTTACTCGTGGTCTCTTGCCAGCTCGCGCAGAGTCTGATGCGGGATAACTACACTACTAGATAGCATGCGAGAGGCGATACACGCCCTGCGTTGCATCTTCTGGTGCCTCTGAGGTACGCAGAGCACGCGGATCGATCACGCCGTAGTAAGCCGTTGTGTATTTGCATATTGCCTTTTTCGCGCTCTAGCTTTGCAACGGAGCAGTTTCAGAGAAGACTGTTCGAAATTTCTGACCTTCATTGCCCGTTAAGTATTTGTGAGACGAACAAACACCCGAGAAGCAACATGTAGAGTAACAGACAGACAGACACACACACAGACCCAACTACCGTACCCTCGCTGTGCATGTGTGCCGAGGGTAACGAGGGTAAAAATCATGCTACTGAGTAACCAACACCGTTATAGTCCAAGTGGAGTTTAATTAAAGATTAAAGGGAATGGGAGTATAAAAGTTACTAAAAATAACAGGGGCACGGTGAAAGAATGCTTGCCTTAGCCGTCATAAAATGCCATATTTCCTATAAGGGCAGCACACCAGGAAACAATATAGGGGATTTTGTGATGGGGTTGGGGGTGTCAGCGTACTCAAATCTGTCCACTAACCATGCTTCATGTATCCCATCCCTATCTTGTCTCTCTTTAGTTTATACATTCCTTGTTACCCTCGGCACGCATGCACAGCGAGGGTACAGTAGTTGGGGATTCTGTCTGTCTGTCCGTTACTCTACATCTCACCTCTTGAATGGCTGTTCGTCTCACAAAGGATACGACCTACTTAATGGGCGATAAAGGTCAGAAAGTTCGAACAGTTTTCTCTGAAAACGCTCCGTTGCAAAGCTAGAGCGCTTGCACCATTGTATGGCTAATGCATAGTCGGCCATTTTTATCGCTGCGGAAAATGCGCATGCACTTATATTTATATTTTCAACAGGCTTTAACCTCGACCGGGTCCGCTTGCTCTGTGTATCTTGAAGGCGCAAGAAGTCACAACGAAGGGTGTGTATCGACTCTTACATGCTATCTACTACTGTAGCTAGCCTGTGTCAGACTCTCTGCGAGCTACTAGCAGGAGACCACGAGTATACGCATACTAATAGCAGCCCAGCCCAGCCCATCAATTAGCGGTACCGCGCATGCCCAGCTCGCCGAGGGTTTGCACTTCAGTGCTTTTCATATAAATTAGCAGGATTTAAAAATTACTTGTAATACCCTTCTGACACTGAAAACAGCACTATTATGGGGAAACTCCTACATTTAATGCTACATGATAGTCGTAATTGTCTTACCCTAAGTCTATTGACAGCCCCAGTATGTTGGATCATGACAGACTCCATCTGAGGACCTTCCTCCCCATCGTCTTCATCGTCATCTTCACTCCAAATAGTATAAACGCAGACCAACCAACACACAGGTTACTTACCTTCTCCATCCTCAACCAGTGTCCTGACGAGATTGTACAGTTTCATGAGGACAATGAAGTTCTGCCGACCAGGTTGTGCCTGGGTACCTCCCATTACGTAACAAGTAAGAGGAAAACTTGTGCGACCATCACCTAAGGCAAGAGAGAGAGAGAGCAGGATTTACATACATACAATTCCGGTGCCAAATATACCAAGGGAATCTCTTATAATGTCAAAGCTGAGACACGGAGCACCACTTTGAGCCTATTGGAGTGGTACGACAAAAGGTAATTTTGCTAATAGATACTGTATGTCTCCGCATACAGTGTGAAGCATATGATATGCTGAACTCTCGTGATCCATCTCCTCCGGCTGACACTCATCCTGTCCAGGCAAATAAACCTGCAGTAGGAAACGGCATACTTTGATTCAAGCCTGGAACACAAGCTACCTGTCTACTGTCACAAGATGATTCCAGTTTCCCTTCAATATCCTCTTCGTACCCCATTTCTTCTGAGTCCGAAAGAGTGCCGCACGAGTCCCCAGACGGGGACGCCATCTCGTCTCGGCGCGCGTGAAAGGGGTGTGGCAGAAATTGGGCAGGATTACGCATGCGCGCATGAGGAATCGACCGCAGCATGCAGCAAGCAGCAGAATGACCAGTGAATGCAAAAGTATATACGCATGGCACGCGCGTAAAGTGGGTGAGATAATTGTTTTTCTTTCTTTTAACTTTAACCACCCACTCCTACACTTGTTTCTCGTTTTCTTGGATTTTTACTATTTCAGATATTTGCACAAAAAAAGAGATAATTGAACGTGACGTCACATCCGGAGTCTCTGTTCGGGCTCCAGAATACGGGACTGTCCGTACTTAGAGCGGCGCAGCGCTTAAGTTTACGGTATGCTCTGGTACAGTAGTCTGTCTGTCTGTCCTTCTGTGTGTCTGTTACTCAACATCTCACTTCTCCAATGTTCGTTCGTCTCACAAACGATAGGACTTACTCAGTTATTATGTCATTCTTCTGTCTATGGGTGGTCCAGTGGTCGTCCAGGAGCCCGCCCCCGGTTGGCGATGGGATATAGTCCAGAAGGCCACTGGTTCACCTGTCATCTACATCCTTCCTTTCCTATTATTCTGCACCTGTATTTGGTGTGTATATATGGCGAGCGGGAGCGAGCCAACCTAGTCGTTCGTTAGGGCGGAATGTATATTATCGTACGTCCGTCGTGTAAGTGCGCATGCGCGGCTTTGTACGTAATTTTTACACATTTTCACACACGGTGCCTCACGATACGTGCCCGATCGATCTATCTAGCCAGCTAGCTAGAGAACTCTCCTCCATTCGACGGCATGCGCTGGTGACTGACTGAGGCTGTACCTCTTCCCAATCTTCATGGTTCCAAGGTGCAACTTGCAAATACGCTAGGATTGCTCGTGCACATACTGCTGCATGTCAGCTGCCTGGTGGACCACGACTGACGAGCTGAAAGCGTAAGGTAAGTACCGTTCTGCTCACCTGCTCACCGTTCTGCCAATGTACAATACGCACGTAACGGTGTCTTGCTTCACGAAATGAAGTGCAAACCCTCGGCGTACTGTGACGCGCACGCGTAAGTAAACGCATGCGCCGTACTACTAATGACTGACGCAGAGTCTAACGCGGTCTAACTACACTACTAGATAGCATACGAGAGGCGATACACGCCCTGCGTTGCATCTTCTGGTGACTCCGAGGTACGCAGAGCACGCGGGTCGATCATGCCGTAGTAAGCCGTTGTGTATTTGCATATTGGCTTTTTCGCGCTCTAGCTTTGCAACGGAGCATTTTCAGAGAAAACCTTTCGAAATTTCTGACCTTCATTGCCCGTTCAGTAGGTGGTATCCTTTGTGAGACGAACGAACACCCGAGAAGTGAGATTGAGAGTAACAGACACACAGACCCAAGTACTGTAACCCTCGCTGCGCATGCGCGCCGAGGGTTAATAACGCGTAACTAGGGGCCACGGCGCTTCCGTTTATAACGCGTGGCAGGAAAGGGCTACGAACGCGGGGTTTGCGTCATCGTAAAGCGCACATAACGCGCTTTCTAACGGTACCCGTAACGCAACGAATTTTGCGCGAAAATGTACGTTTTCCTGTAGCGGGTCACATATACGTGTATGTTGTGCGCTTTATTGAGCAGAGTCTGCCCACTTATATACACAGGTTGTTGTGCAGTGGGTTCAAGTGGAACAGGGAAGGGAGTTGGAATAACGTTAAACCACAGTAAGTTCTGTTCAACGAATGTCTGCATAATAGTTGTGCATAAACATCTTTAATCTGTAGCCATATGATTGTGGATGGCCAGCACAACGTCACCGAGGCCATCTAGGAACGACATGAGCACAGACGGCTTCATCACTACTTTCAAGTTGTTTCTTCCATGCAACACAGATTATCTGCATCTGTGAGACAATGTATAAAATTAATAAAAATAAAATGTGTATACCTTGTCTCCCTCAACATAAACCCCACACACTTCCTTCTCCCGGCCTAACACAATGTTGAGGAGCTGTGTTTGTAACAGGTAGAACAGGACCTGCCCTCCCTGTTGGAGCTCTCTCCTGTCAGATTCCCTCCACGGCATTCCAGGGAGAGTCTGTCCGTTTCTTAGTGTGGCTCGCAGGGAGGGTGATTTCGCCTGTGTCATAAAACAATGGCTATAAGGAGTTTACACTTGTATTAATACCTTTGAGATCATGACGAACACTGAAGGGTTGTCCAAATGATACACAGAGAGATCTGGACAACCCTAACATAAACAGGTGTCAATAAACATACAATTATTTGGAAGTGAAAGCAAGCCAATATGCACATTCAGCAACATGCATGTATTATATATAATGTATAATTATGTAATTGGCGAGCGGGAACAAGCCAACCCTTGTGAGCAACTGGCACGGTTTTTCCGTTAATTTTATTTATTAATTATTTAGGGCGAGCGATCGGGCACTGTCCATTCCGATGGGATTTCTAATTCAACGTCTGCACCGCGCGCGTTTATCGTTCTCTGGCAGCAGCAGCCTTTACAGCTTCTTCATGGAGGATACAAGGGATATTCCTGCAACGGTGGAACAAATCTCTACTGTTGTTGCAGACTCCAGCACAACAAACCGGGAGCGAGAGACTGGCGATGGACAGAGCGCGAAGGAGAGCGCGCCTCGCCTCCGAGACAGCGGAACAACGGGAGGCATGATTATCCCGACGCCGAGCTCAGGACCGGGCCCGGTGTACGAGGGAAACGCCTGAGCAAAGGGAGAGTCGTCTGCATCGCCTACGAATTCGTCGGCAGGAGCGTCTCGCGATTATGCAATTTCTCTTTACCCTACAAACAAAATTGCTTGATGTGAAGACTATTGTATGCATCTCTCCCATAATAGTCTGTTGGATCGCACCCGCTCGCCACCAATGGCTACCATTAAACTAGTTTTATATACCTTCAGTGCTCCATTTTGGGTATGGCCCTCTGGATAAATGATTTCAGCTTTTATAGAGAGCCCGCCTGCTGCAGTGGCCTTGTTTGGAGCAGAGCTATATATATAGTATACATAAAGCCGATCCCTATCTTATTTTACATACTTACACGCTGTATAGCCCTGTGTGCCTGTGGCATAGTGTGGTGAAGCGCACGAGGCGGACCATCTCATATAACAGTGCTTTCGAGACACCGTTTCTGAAATTGTCTGCCACAGCCCCTATGTAAGCATAGGCCAGTGGCACTAGGTCTTTGTCATCCTATGGAAAGGGAATATCACACGAGAAACTGCAGCTATCAAACTTTTATACCATACAGCCTGGATTGCTCCAAGGAGCGGAGTGTAACCTCTCCAGCAACCCTGTCTGCTCCCAACAACTTTACATTCCAGGCATCGGGCGGCTGGTGAAACGATGTCCTGGGCCCTCACCTGGTTAAGTTCAAGGACCTCCACCCTCCTATTTCCCTCCACCAAAAAGGTGTTGGCGGAAAAGGCACGGAATGCGTGTAGGTATAAGTAGTCACTGGCCCAGAATTCTAAAGGGTCACACATTCACACTCAGTGCCACACTTCATTAATGTCTAACCAGTCACATCGCTGTCAGTCGTCGTCGTCGTCGTTGTTGATGGGCTGCCTGGGGGTTGGTCGTCTGATGGCTCCATACTCTACTTGGGGGTTGATATGTAACTGGCAAAATAGCTTTTGTATGGAATAAGACTAGTTTTAAGTGAATGTTTTTTTTTTCAAATATAGGGCTTTAGGTAATTGTTCAACTTGACACTTTCTATACACCCTAACAGCCTCAAACATCCAAATCTAGGTTACACTATGCCCAGAGACTGTGTAGGGTATGCATTAAACAGTGGACATAGAGCGGTGCCTTTGATTTATAGGGCTTCTGTGGTACAATTACAGGATAAGGCCTCCTTTCTCACACAGGACTGCTATCCAGCTTTGAAGACACACAATGAACCATGCAATAAACTCTTCTGCAACAGTCTTATCACAGGTCACAAAGCTGACACACACACAATCCCCACAAGCACACCATAACAGCCTCAAACATCCAATTACAAGATAGGGCATCCCTTTTCACTAGGACTACAACCAGCTATACACATACAGGGGCAAGCCAGAACTATGTATCCCCAGACACAAAAACTAGAAATGAACTTATAACACACCCAAAACACACAAAAAGGAGAAATAAACTTACATGCAAAAGACACAAAAAGAAGAAATGAACTAACACACTCAGGAGATCAGCTGCAAGGGGGCAGCAACACAACAAGAGCCTTCTCAAGCCTGCGTGTTTATATATGTATATATATACAAAAGGGAGGGAAAGAGAGGGACAGTGAAGACTACATCTACACATCTACACTGTGCAAATGGGAGGGTTTACCAACTCTGTTCTTGCATATGGATATTGGGTTTGGGACTTGACACCCATTTGAAACAGTCTTATCACAGGTCACAAAGCTGACACACACACACACACACTCTAACAGCCTGACTCAAACATCAATTACAAGATAGGGCATCCCTTTTCACTAGGACTACAAGCATACACACACAGGGGCAAGCTGAGCTATGTATCTCCAGCTTTTAAAGACACAAAATAAACTTACACACAGATTCTTCCGTAGCGTTCAGTGTGACGCACAAGACCAGGAGGGCCTAGGGCGGAGAGGGGCCGGGATCCCGCGGGAGAACAGCAAAAAAGAGAGCGGTGGCACGGCAGTGTATAAAAAGACGCGGACGCCGCGCAGATCAGACGCGACGGTATAATACCTAAATGCTTATTTTTTTGGCAATTTCCTTCTTTACCAACAAGGGTTTGAACTGTTTTGCATTTCTTGTACGCACATGAGTAAACGAAACGACAAACCAACAATGCCTAACAGTTTGACTATTG